ATGAAATATAAACCCCAAAAATAACAATAAGTTCAAATATTTGTGCAGAGAAACACAAATCTATGACCTTTGAAACAAAACATTTTTAAACTAAAAATCTTCTTAAATGAACTCTTTCTTTTACAAAATATTATATTATTATGAAGAACCTGAAACTTTAAGAAAAATGCAATTTCAACACAATATTTTAACATGAACTTGTATGCAAATAGGAATAAGTCAATTTTTCTTGGAAAATCCTGCACTCGGCTCAACTTTTCTCATTTTTTACGTTTTTCTGATGAGGGTGTCACGGTCAACAGTCAAAACGATCGTCCTTTAAGAGCGTTTGGAAAGAGACAAGTCTTCATTTGTGCTGCTCTGGTGGGAGGGGCCACGTACAGAGGCACTGGAGACGCTGCTATGCTCAGCACCACAGGAAATTACCAATATTTTAATTAAAATATTTAAGTAGAAAATCAGCCGAGGGCCACATTAAAGGTCTTGGAGGGCCGCATCTGGCCCCCGGGCCTTATGTTTGACACCTGTGGTCTAGAATATCCCACATTTTGGCATTAAACATCTCTCTATTCAACTATACATTTTTTTTACTTGAACCTTGTGGATAAAAAGATGTTCTGTGAGTGGGGTTGCATTTCCGCAGATCTGATCTGTACCATGGTCTGGCAGTGCTACTTTTTCTCCATAAGCTTAATATCAGCATTAGGCCAAGGAATAACATCTCCACAGAGACAAGCAGGAAGCATAAAGCATGAATTCAAACTCAAAGAAGCCCCTGGTTCTTACTTTGGGTGTCTATGTCCCATACCATGCTAAGGGTCATTTAGTAATGCAAGGTAATGCTATTAGTGGATGTATGTGAACTAAAGCAAATGTGACATGCCCATAGTGACCAGGGATCCTCGCCATGAGTGCTTTAATACTAATTTGTTGTTTTGAATTAATTTTGTTGTGGTTGTTAAGCCCAAGGAAGAGGAGTACAAACTTTATTACATTTATTATTACTGTACACGTGCCTTTTAACTTTTAACCTTAGCACATTGGCACTTAAAATAGTTTTATTAAAAATTCAAGTAATGGTGCAATATGGCATAGTGTAGTGGAGTGCCACACTCTTCACTAAGTCATTTTGATTTGCTTTGTTTTACTCTGTTTTCCTTTGATTTGTGTGCCTTTTAATGTTTACATAGCACTGTACATTTTATCTACAGTTCCCAAATTGATTATTTACTGGCCCGAGCCAGTAACGAAGTAACTGGTGAGGGCTATTGTTCTTCGCCGGTTTCTTCTTCTTATTTTTTAATTCTTTTTCCGACCAAACGATCGCATTTTTGACCCCCTCAACATCGACGAAAAGTCCCCAAACTGGGGTTCAGATCGATTGGCCCGGCAAAAAATTTCATAAAATGGCCATCACAATAATGACCTAAGTGACCCGACTCAACAGCGCCGCCTAGAATTGGACCCCTATGGGAATGGGGACAGGCTAACTTTGTCACAGGGAAATGAAATTCGGGACAGTGATAGAGAACTATGACACAAGACAAAAGATGAATTGGAGCATGACCCTATGACGGACCGGAAGTCGGCCATATTTGATCAAAAATTCGGCGCCGTTTTGACTAGGGTGTCTACAAAAACATTCAAGTCCTCGGGGTTTAGTCCAAATGAGCTCAGATTTGACATGTCACATCTACACACACAAACGCACAGACATTTTCAACTTTTTTTGGGATACTTCTTACGCTTCACCCGTAGCACGCCGGCAAATAACGCCTTTATTTCCTGTTTTTTCGGTGACCTGTCACGGCCACAGGCATTGTCCTACAGAGCTCAAATTCAAATCACCATTGTGTGATCCAGGCCTGAATGTGATGAAATATGAAATCTTTTTAAAGTGAACTCTATAATGCCCCCTAGCATAGACGTGAAACGTCAACATTATCGGATTAGTACCAAATTCGGGGATTAAATTCTACGCATGATTACAAGCAAAAAAGTCCATTACGAACATGATGCATTTTTCACCAGTGGCCAGCAGGGGCGCAAAGACTCCCCCAAAAAATAGTACAAAAATAATTACACCCACAGGCTTAGTCCGAACGTGCAGAAATTTGAATCAATAATGCCTGATCACGGCCTAAACATAATACACTATAAAACATATGAAAAGTCGACTCTATACCGCCCCCTACCATAGACATGAAATGTCAACATTATTGGATTCGCACCAAATTTGGAAATACAATTCTATGCATGATTACAAGCAAAAAAGTCAATTACGGACATGGGGTATTTTTCACAGTTGGCTACCAGGGGCGCAAAGACTCCCCCCAAAAATAGTCAAAAAATTATTATATGCCCATGTTTAATCGGATCGTGCTGAAATTTTTGGCAATAATGCCTGATCTCAGCCTGAATATTATACACTATAAAACATATGAAAAGAGAACACTATAGCGCCCCCTACCATAGACATGACCCCTCAACATTATTGGATTTGTACCAAATTCGGGAATTTAATTCTATGTATGATTACAAGTCAGACAGTCTATTATGGACATGCTGCATTTTCCAATGTTGGCCAGCAGGGGCGCAATGACTCCTTCAAATATTTAAAGGTGCCTTATGTTATGTGTATAATGAACGAGCTGTCGGCCTGGGCGGATGTCGGGAAGAGAGAGTGGCGTGCCGGGCCTGTCTCGAGTCCCGGAGGTCGCGTGGGGGGGCGGTGCGCGCCGGGCCGCCATCGCCGCACGCGGCTTTAATTATTATTATTATTATTTATCCAAGTGCCATAATTGTTAATAACAAAAAAAGTCCAGTATATGCTGGCATAGCTAGCATACTGTCACACACTGCGACATAAAGTCCAAAGCCACTTTTTGTCACTTTGGACTAACACCAAATAAACAACAAGTAAATTCTAAAACATCCTGAGTAAGAACTTTCTGTAGCATGACCATCTATCATTTAAAATTTTACCTTTTAGTAAGTGAAGGACATTTTTCATTTTACTTTCTCTTTTTAATGTTCTTGGCTTACATTGTGCATTTCATTGTGCTCTTTACATGTGGATAATTATTTGAATATGCAAACCTATACATGTATGTCAGCACCTGAATGTCTAGGAGCTAATAGAAATAATTGTAACCATCAAGTTAAATAAACAAAGAGTCCTAATTTCTAAGGAGGAAGATATATATCAAACCCCTAATAATAATAAATGTTCCCTGTAAGAGGCACAGACTTACTAGAGAAAGAGAGTGTGACACTTTAAATTCAATTAATAAATCTTAAAAGATTACAGGAACAGCAAGTAAGTTTGTGGCCAAAATTGGTACTGCAATCACGTATGAAATACTGCAGAGCATAGTATAACCTACCCCGGACAAGAGGGCCCCAGCTATAGGTTGCCGAAATCAGACAGGTGGAGGGTGGCACAACAGTCCAAAACACATAATATACACATAATGACAACATCAACATAACTTGAGGGCTGCAATTTATATAGGAAAGGTAATATTCAGGCTGGATTACTGCACTGAAAAAATGGTCCGAGAGGGGTTGCTCAAGTTGCAAAAACAAATTTGACAACAATAACATCACTTTTTTACGTTTCTCAGTCAAGCATGTTTAAATCTTACAAAGGTCGCTTGATTGTGGCCGATGTTAGACCTGTATGTTTTAATCAGGTTGAGGAAACATGACTTTATTATAATTTCTGGTGAGGCTCCTCCCTCTGGAATTCTCCTCACCAAAACCTTTGGAGGGAAAATTCAAATGTAACAGGACACAGGACAGATACAGGAGCAGAGGACACACAGTGTGGAGCAGGAGGATTATGAGAGCTGATCTGGAGGTGAGACTTTTCAAAGATTTTATTATGTGCTTCTCCGGCCTAGAATGTCATCATAGTTAAAACATATTTGTGGTGTTTTATTTGAAATTAGAGTTAATGTAAGGACTCCTTGAAACAAATTGTCTTTGACTGTCCATCTACAACAGTGTGACAGTTGTACAAAGATTTGAATGTGTTTGTTTCAGAGTCGTCAGCACATGGTGAGTTTTGTTTCTGCAGATACAGTTCTAATGTTCTTGTGATTCTGTTCTGGTCCGTTATTGTAGTAATAATTGCTATAAGTGTATTTAAACATGTACAACAGAGTAGATCATCAGAATGTAATCATCATGTGTTATTCCTGTGTCCACAGGCAGAGACCAGAGTTTCTTCACTGGAATAAATCTTCACACTGTCCAGCTCCAAAGTGTGTATCTCTGTCCCTGTGCTCTCTTTGTGTTTGATTCTGTTTAAGACAATACAGATCTGTAGAAAACTAAAGACTGTTTTTGTATTCTTTTACAGAATTAGATCAATTAAATTAAATTATACATACTTATACATTTCATGATAAGGTACCATAAGATAAATATGCATATTCAGCATGATTTGTTCAAATTTCATCAACATGAAAAAGTGATGTTCATGTTCTGAGAAAAATATGTGTAGAGGGGTTTGAAAAAAGTTTCAAAGCCTAAACATAATTTTATTGCATGCAACCGCTCTCCATAACTTTTTACGCAAATCCAGCAACCTTTTTTTCAGTGTGTGGTCAGTGATAAAAGTATTATCAAAAAAAATATATCATGATTCCTTAATGTCGGTGATATATCGGGGTGATTTTATTATTAATTTACAGTTCCTATACTGTCCCTTTTAATAATATTCATAAATTATTATTACAGTTATTACATTACTAGCAGCAATTTTAAACCAGCCAATAATGTAATAAATTAGGCCTACTAAATTTTTGGCATCGGGCTATTACGTGATTGTTTCAGATATTTTCTTACATTACTGGAAAGTTATTTTTGTCATTATTGGCTTTATTACATAAAAATTATTACATTATAGACAGTTATTACATTATTGCCCTACGAGCATCAGGATCCGCAGCGGATCCGCTTTCGATCCGCCAAATCCGCCCTACAGTCCTTCCGCTTTGCGGAACCGCTGCGTATTTGTTCCGTATTCGCTTTCTGACTGTTGCTAATCCTAACCCTTGGATGGCCTACTGTTACAGAGAGAATCTTCGGTTAATTCATCTTAGATCCGCACTGTGAACGTACTTTTAACACAACACTTGTTAGATTTGTACTATCAGTGCTCGGATCCGCGACTAAACCGGTTCGGATTCGCTGCGCAGACGCGCCACTGACTCATCAGCCGTTATCGGGACCTGAGTGGAAAGAAGCAGCATCCACCTGTTGTCCGCGGATTTAACTGTAAGTAATTGTTTAAAAGTTTATTTTATTAGTCATCATTAATGTACATAACGTTAACGTTACATTGTGGTGTGTGTACATCTGTGACTGTGTGTATTTTATCAGTTTTGACGAGTGCAGTAGGAAAGTTAGCGACAGTAGCAGCTAACGTGATGAAGACGATGTGAGGTCAGGAGTCAGGATAACTCCATCTCTTGAGGTAGATCCCAGTCCAAATACATTTTTATATAACGCTACTTATATTCTTGTATATTTTTTACAATCACAGAGTTATACTCTGCTTCGTGATTATTGGTCGTGTCTAACAGGCTCGGTTCTGGCTGGATGCCGCTCTCGGCGCTCTCCTCTCGGCTGTGGAGCGGCGGTGACACCGGTGTCTGAGCTGATTGTGTTTTTAACAAGAGACAGTTATATTATTTGTGTAGACTAGAGTGTTGACTGTTGAGTTGAGACTAAAGTGCAGTCATGTCGGTGCCTTAATACAATAATTTAACGCAACGTGCCTTGATACAATAACGTAACGTAATAAAAATAACAACTTTTAACAACAGCTAACGTTAAATAACCAACCAAAACTTAAGTTGTTTTTCCCCAGATGACATCAGGAGCCCCTGTCCTTCTGCTGAGTGTCCCCATCAGGAGTCCTGCACACTGATCAGAAGTAAGTACTTTTAATGATTTCTGTGACAGTGAGGATTTAGTTTAGAGCCAGATCTGACTTGTCTCTAACTTTCTGTTATGGGACTTGAGACGGTGCTTCAGGCTTTCAGTGAAAGATCTGACATCTTGACATGAACAATGATGTGTCACATCTAAATTACACTGATATTGACTATGAACACCATCATAAATTGATTATTATATTTTAAATGTGGTAAATGTAAATGTAGTAGAGTATTGTATATTAACAGCAGTGAAATACGTCTCATTCTCATACTCATGCTCATACTAAAACAAATGAGTTTAGCTATACTGCTCTAAAGTATTTCATATGAGTTAAATAATGTTTTTCATCTCTGTTTCAGAATATACTGTATTTAATAAGAAGATGGACATAAGGGCATGATAAAGACCCTCTGGAGGTAAATACTGCACTTGTATTAAACACTGTGGCCTGAAATGATCCAAACTGATATTTGTGTTTCTCTTATTTGATGTATTAAATGTAGTAAATTTACTTCATTACCTCCGCCAAGGAGGTTATGTTTTTGCCGGCGTTTGTTTGTTTGTTTGTTTGTTTGTCTGTTAGCAACATAACTCAAAAAGTTATGGACCGATTTTGATGAAATTTTCAGGATTTGTTGGAAATGTGAAAAGGAAGAACTGATTTCATTTTGGGGGTGATCCGGAAGAAATCCTGGATTCTGGATCACTTTGAAATTTTAGTTAACATTGTGGTAAATGGGGCCAAAAATTTTGTTTCTCAATATCTCGGTTAATTATTGACCAAACCCCATGAAATTTGACTCAGGGATGGACAATGGGATCCTCTTTCATATTCCAAAGGCTGATCCGGATCTGATCCAGAAGACTGATTTTATCGCAATTTACATAAAAAATGGGGGTAGTCCTTGGCGGAGGTCTGCGCTCTCTGAGTGCTTTTCTAGTTATTGATGTAGTAGTAGTAAATGTAGTAAATGTAGAGGCAGACCCTCTGTAAGTTTACTGTATTAACCTACTTTGATTAACTTTCATAACTAAACATGTGTACATTATAATCACAACTGTTGTTGTGCATATTGTTTCTTTCAGAACACGCTGTGGTGGAGTTTAAAGACTGACCTTCAGTCTTTGAACATGACAGGTGAACACAGATCTCTCCAATCAAGTGTTCACCTGTCATGTTCAAATCACACAGCCCACTGTCATGACTTACAATGTTCTTCACAAACCTGAACTCTAACTCCTTACAAGAATAAGGTGAGGTGTAATGGGGTGTTTAATACACACTGGTGGCATTTCAGATGCTGTGAGAAAGGGGAAGCCCAGCGCTGGACACTGACAGACTGGATCTTCACCAGTAGGACTGAAGAGTGTCCCTGCCATAAGAGCCCTCTTGTCTTCTCCTGGATTTGCCCTTCTCCATTGGGCTAGTAATGAGACCAGTGCTATTGGCCACGTACCTGAAGACCTCAGATCCACATTACAGTTCCCGCCCCAAGTCCTGCTTTCATGTCCTTACTTGCCGACCGAGTACGCATACAGTGATGGGGGATGCCAGCCTAGGCCAATTTGCCCATGCAAAAAAGTAAAGAAAACAAATTAGTTGGGCTTGTATGTGATGCCCTTGCTATGACAAATCCAAATTTAGGGCAGAAATAGTTATTTCCAGAGACACATTTGAAACATGCAATGAACAGATTGTGAAGTAGTTTGCATTGGCATTGTTTTCTGTTGTCGTCGCACAGTGCAAGCCACAACAGTTCTCAAACTGGTTTGCCTGGGTGTTGACTGAACAGTCATAAACAGTACCTCTTAGTACCTTCAGGAACAGGTGAAAACTCCCCCGGCTGTCCTTGTTGTGGTTTCTACTGAGTTTCAACTGGGTGTGGACAGGTTGTGCAGGGACATTCTGGATTTGTTTTCACACTGCAGCCATACCAGTACCACCAGCAGCAGCAACAACAGCAGAGAAAGCCTCTATCCTGATGGATTATTCTTTAGACTTGTTCAGTCTCACCTCCCTGTTGGGGACTATAGCTCTGATCCTACTTTTGTACATAATAAACAACAGTCTCACAGGTGGGGAATCAAGGAAAGAGCCACCAGGACCAAGGCCTTGGCCGCTGCTTGGCAACCTGTTGCAGCTTGATCTAAAGAGACCGTTTGTTACCCTTCATGAGGTAAATTTAACATCTGTGTTGCAGATAATGTGTTACTCTCTTAATTAAGAATGAAATTTTACATCACCTTAGATGTCAAAGAAATATGGGAGTATCTTCACAGTCTACTTTGGACCAAACAAAGTGGTGGTACTAGCCGGTTTTAAAACAGTCAAAGAGGCTCTAGTTGGATTTGCAGAGGAGTTTGGTGACAGAGGCCCCTCTAAAATCTTTAATGATATATCTCAGGGTCATGGTAGGACTTACACAACTATTCCTAAATACATAATCATTTTGTATATTATTTCATTAAACCTCTTTTAATTTATTTAAATATGTGCTATTTTCAGGAATTATTTTTACCAATGGGGAAACATGGAAAGAGATGAGAAGGTTTGCACTTACTACTTTGAGAGACTTTGGGATGGGCAAAAGACTGGCAGAGGATAAAATTGTTGAAGAGTGCCACTACCTGATACAGGAGTTTGAAAAGCATAAAGGTATTAAGACTCACTCTCTACCCCCATAGACTATCCATAGTGAACATAAGTGCCATTTATGATCCTGCAGGACAGCCGTTTGATACAACACGGCCAGTGAACCACGCCACATCTAACATAATCTCATCAATTGTTTATGGAAGTAGATTTGAATATAATGATCCAAGGTTCAAAAACATGGTGGCAAGAGCCAATGAGAACATTCGGCTTTCAGGTTCTGTATCAGTACAGGTAATTTATTCCTTTATACCTACTACCAGTATTGTCAATTAGTAACTCTGTTCAACCCTTAACATTTATTTATACCTATATTAGTGCTTCTAATTGGTGTCAAATATTTAAGTAGCAACCCCACTTTTTTGCATTGCAGTTGTACAACATGTTTCCTCGGCTGTGCTACTGGGTAAAAAACCGGAAGAAGATTTTGACAAATGTTGCTGAAACTGTCAATGATGTTCAAAACTTGATCACTAATTTGAAAGACACATTAAACCCGGAGCTATGCCGTGGCTTTGTTGACTGCTTTCTGATGCGAAAAAGAAAAACAGAGGTTGCAACAGCATTTCTGGAAAAATTTATATTGTGTTCTTAACTTATTTTGATATATAACATTTCTCTATTCCAACACTGCATTAGGATTTACACACTTTGATGACTCAGTACCATGAGAAGAATCTGATATACTCAGTAACCAACTTGTTTGCAGCTGGCACAGACACCACTGCAGCTACAGTGAGATGGGGGTTACTATTAATGGCCAAATATCCAGACATCCAAAGTAAGAACCAGGGGCTTCTTTGAGTTTGAATTCATGCTTTATGCTTCCTGCTTGTCTCTGTGGAGATGTTATTCCTTGGCCTAATGCTGATATTAAGCTTATGGAGACAAAGTGGCACTGCCAGACCATGGTACAGATCAGATCTGCGGAAATGCAACCCCACTCACAGAACATCTTTTTATCTACAAGGTTCGAGCAATTAAATGTGTAGTTGAATACAGAGATGATTAATGCCAAAATGTGGGATATTCTAGATGCAGGAATAACATCCATAGAGACATGGAGATAGTAGACACTTCACCAGAAATTACATAGTATACCTTTACATCATACAGTTGTGATTTGTCTACAGATCAGGTCCAACAGGAGCTCGACAGAGAAGTAGGAAGTTGCCAAATCTGTGCTGAAGATCGGAAAAATCTGCCCTACACTGATGCAGTCATACATGAGACGCAGAGATTCGCCAACATTTTACCTTTGTCCATTCCTCACAAAACCAGCAAAGATGTTACCTTTCAGGGCTACTTCATCAAAAAGGTGTGATATTTGTGATTGTGATGACCAAAAACATTAGAAAATGTCATACTTTACAAAATGATTGTCCCTAGGATACACTTGTAATTCCTCTCCTTGCCTCTGTGCTTTATGATGAGAATGAATGGGAAAATCCACACATTTTCAACCCATCTCATTTCCTGGACAAAGATGGTAAATTCATCAAGAGAGAAGCTTTTCTTCCCTTTTCCGCAGGTTAATAACAAAGACATTATTTTTGGTGACAAATTTCAACCATAATAAATACAATGAACTGGAACTGTTTTGCAGGTCGGAGGGCGTGTTTGGGAGAGGGATTGGCAAAAATGGAGTTGTTTCTGATCTTCACTAGCCTTCTCCAGCGCTTTCGCTTCAGCCCTGCACCTGGAGTTAGAGAGGAAGATTTACTGTTGACCCCATCTGTGGGTTTCACTCTCACCACATCACCCCATGAGCTGTGTGCAACTATTCGCTGATAACAACACAACACTACAAAACAAGATCAATGTACTAGTGTGGCTTGGCTATAACTTATATTTTTGATTTAGGAATTAACAAAGTTTGATCTTTCACCTGCAATGTCAGTTCTACACATTTTAATCAAGCACTGGTCTTAGTGAGCTCTGAAGAACCCATTTTACATACTATAATAAATAGCAAAACATAAATTCACTGATTTATTGACTAGCTTACATTCTGAAATATGTTATCATACTATTATAGCAATGTAACTTTTATTGCCATATTGCGTGGTATATAAAAGGAGTACAAAAGCCATATATTTTTAAATACCAATAAAATTATATTGAGTACTTGCTTAACAACAATAAGGTCTATACTAAAATGAAAGAATTTTTAACAGTTGCTACAGTTTATACATCACTCAACTTTTAATTTTCATCTTGGCCTGGAATTTGCTAAGGGCCTTCCTCTTTTATACTATTTACCTGATCCTGAACAGAATTGCTCATGGGCAAAACCACTTCAGAAGAAATATTACAGTCCTGAAAGGTTCTTACTGCACAGCTGTTTGAAAAATTTGCCAGTTTATTCTCTGAAAATGTGTGATTATTTGATTGGTTGTAAGCAGACACATAGTTTTGTGTGAATCCTGACATGTGGGCTTGGGCTTGCTGTTGGTACAATGGTGAAGGGATAAGCGGAAGGCTCTCAGCACTACTACATGCTGCAAAACCATTCATGCTGGTAGGACTGAGTTCAGGAAGTTTAAAGGGTTCAACTGTTTCTAAAGCATTTATAGAGTTGAAGCTTGGTTGTGACTGGCTGCACTGTGTATAAGTGCCTTGGCTACATGTAAAAGTGTCTTGATTATAGGAGGTAGATTTCAAAGCAGCAGGTGAGTGCGTTTTTTGTTGCTGTTGAACTGCGCTACAAAATCCCATTTTGGAGGACATAGTCTGAAGAGTACTGAGGATTTGCTTCTGAATGTTTGTCTGCTGCACCTGCTCCCGCTCCAGACGACACTGCTGCTCGACCAACATCTTTACCGCCATTCCCAGACTGCGCACTTCGGAGCTTAAGGTCTGGATTTGGTCCTGCAGAATAGCTTGCACTCTTGACTCCTGAACAGTATGTTGTGGACTAGAATTCCCCTCGTTTTGGTTAGTTGAATGACTGCTAAGTGAGGTTGGCAGTCGTAAATTTGCAGATAATGACTTGGCCACTGATTGACTTGGAAGACGAATGCCAACACGTGGAGGAGGAGGAGGCTGAGGTGAGCGAACTGACACACTAGGTCTTTGAACAGAGTAATGCACAGCTGATGTTCCTCCTACCCCTTCAGACTGATTTTCCATAACAGCCTGTAAATACACAGACATAAATTAGTATAAATATATATAATACTTTGTTCACAAAGAGTGGTGTTTGTTTAGGAATTGTAATGTCTCTCACCCTTTCATTTGAATTATAGGTGTGAGATGGTTGTTGAACAGGATTTCTCAAACCAGGTCCCTGTAAACTACTTGGGTCTCTTCTTATCAGTGATGCCATCTGCTGGAAAGACTGGAAAGATACATGATGATACATAATGATATATGATTATATGTATATAGTCAACATTTGTACTTGAATTAAAGAATGTACCTTTATTCTGTGTGATAAAGCTTTATCCAAAATCCTCTTACGTGCAGCCAACATTGAGTTTGTAGTAGGGGAAGGACTGACCCTTCTTCTTACTAGTGTTGCAGTAGTTGCTCCTGTGGAACATGCTACACTTGTTGCAGCTTTTGTTACAGGGCTCTGAACAACACTTTGGCTCGTCTGTGAAAGGGAAGTGACACTGACAATCTTAATGTCATTTTCTTCTTTAAATCCTTGCCCTTGGCTACTGATGCTGCTACTTCTGCTACTACTGCATTCCCCTGAGGACCCTGGGGGGGTTGTGCTACTTGTATTTTGAGTTTTTGTCATGAAATCAGAACTCTGTGACTGTTGAGAGGAAATCCGTATGAGGTTTTGAAGATGAATACCACTCCATTTATCTGGAGCTCCTTTGCTCCTAGCTTGCAGCTGAGGGTTGAATGAGCCTCCGATCTCCAAAGGGCGAGCACGTCCCGGAGGCCTTCCCTGAAACTCTCTCAAGAACAGATAAATAGCCTGTGCCGAGACCTTGATGTTCTCTAGCTCCAATTCAGCTTTAATTTTACGGAAACTCAGTCCAGCCTTTCGGAGCTCCACAACTTTTTGTTTGGCAGCATCATCAAGCCGACCCATGGTTTCCTATTGAGCAATGAGATTTAAATTAATATTTAAAAAAGGACCGGCGACGATTCGACAATGTCTTGCATACTTTAGGTCTATTCTACTGTGACTTTAATGCACTCAATAATCAGTATTAACAGTGCCATGTTATGATTTTATGTGGCTTGCGTTATAAAATGAATTAGCTAACGATAATGGCTATGAGTTGTCGATTTTAGAGAGGCTCTCACCGCAAAAAAGCTTTTCGCAGTCTTGGGCGTGTTTCTTATTTCATAAAAACAGCTTGAATATAGTGAGACAACCCCAATTTGCCCAGGCAGTAAAGTCAAGAAAACAAATTTGTTGGGGTTGTATGTGGCGCTCTTGTGCCTACGCAACTTCCTGTGTGTCGTCATCACTAAGCGACGCTTTGGCTGCAAGTGTTTGCTTGAAAATCCGTCGATCGAAAGAAAGAACGATATGTAAGTGTAAAAATATACAGTGAGCCAGCAAAGTCATTTTGTGTCAAATCTATAAGATTTTCTTTCGCATTTTATGATTGAATCATTGCGCTGAAGACATAGCACGCTTATTTTAATCCAAGAGAACTTGCTGTGAGGATCGCTGAATGAATTCAGTCGTTCTCAGATTGGTTGTCGTATCACTGTGTGTTTTTTTGTTTTGTTTTGTTTGTTTGGTTTTTTTTCTTGTAATATTGGAGTGACTATTTTTCATTCTTCTCATTTGTTCCATATTTACACGTGTGTTTGACACTTCAGTGTGCTCGCCGACTATAAATGGTTAAAACGTGATTAATTTATTTTAGGGCCCCATCACCGACAAAGCGCAAAGAGGAAGAAAAAACAAAGGAGAGGGGTAAGGAAAAGAATATCAAGGATGAAGACAAAGAACGAGGACGAGACAAAGTGAGGAAGCGTCGCAGTGCTTCTACTGGAAGCAGCAGCAGCAGGTTTGCTCATGGGTTCAGTTTTTAAATCGTTTGTTTTTGGTGAACACCGGGCAGTTAATATTGTTAATCTTTTTGGTACCAGGTCCAGCTCATCTTCAAGCAGCAGCTCTGGTTCCAGCTCAGGCTCCTCCAGTGGGTCCAGTTCATCTGGCTCCAGTCGCTCAGGTTCTTCAAGTTCTCGCTCCTCTTCTTCTTCAAGTTCATCTGGGTCACCTAGTCCAAGTCGAAGACGCCATGATAACCGACGCAGGTCGCGTTCAACGTTAGTATTTTCCTCAGTTCTACTCTTTTCTCTTGATAAATTGTGCTGGTTTTGTGTTAATATTACTTATTTCAATAGGTCAAAAACGCAGAAAAAAGCAGATGAGAAGGAAAGACGAAAAAGAAGTCCAACCCCAAAACCAACAAAGGTTCATATAGGTCGACTGACACGAAATGTCACGAAAGTCAGTAATGGAAAATCACATGTCAATTAATTAAACTAAATTCAGGATGGGCAGTCTAAAAATTACAAATCTATGTAAATATTTAAACACAGGAACATATACTGGAGATCTTTTCGACTTACGGGAAAATAAAAATGGTGGATTTGCTGATGGACAGAAGTCATCCTCACCTTAGCAGGTGCTCTGCCTATGTTGAATTTGAAACTTCAGAAGAGGCCCAGAAAGCACTCAAGCACATGGATGGAGGTAATTGTATTTATTTTTATTTATCTTTTATTGTTTCAGGCAAAACATTGAAGGGCCCATATTACACTGTTTTCTGATCTATGTTATTGCTGTGCTATGTTGTTTCCTCATTGAAAACATACCTTGAGTTTTGTTTTATTCACACATTTTTAACACACAAAGTATATTTAGGCAGAAATCAATTGAAAACTACCATGACATCATAAGGTGGATCAGAGCATTTTGAGCTTTGGAGATTTGGGCAAACTTAATAATAAAGGGTTACTCAAACTTGGTAAGGAAAGAAAACACAACTCCAGGTATTTTTTTTTTCATGAGGTGACAACATTATAACAAGCTTAAAAGCTCAGAGTCAATTTAGCATAATATTGGACCTTTAAGAATAAATTGTTGTACACATTTATACATCAAATGTTGGCCAATAAAAGGTTATGTTACTTAAGGCTTTTCGATTTTTAATGATCCATACAGGCCAAATTGATGGACAAGAAATAACTGCTGCAGCAGTACTGCCTCAGCGCTTCCGACCTCCACCTCGGAGACCTTCACCACAGCGAAGAATGCCTCCACCTCCCCCCATGTGGCGCCGCAGCCCACCACGCATGAGGAGGCGGTATGTTTTCGGTTTACTGGCCATGATGTCCAAGCATCTTTTTCTTAATTTCTTCTTTTAATGTGTTTGTTTAAAGATCCCGCTCTCCGAGGAGGCGCTCGCCAATACGACGTCGCTCACGCTCTAGGTCAGCAGGACGCAGGCGCCATCGCTCTCGTTCCAGCTCAAATTCATCCAGATAAACATTCGTGTTAGAAGCTCAGCTGAAGATAGTGAATGTTTTTTTCTTTCTTCTCTTTTAAGATTTAAGATTCTTTTTTAAATTTTAAGTCTTCAAGGACTTCTTTGTTGTGTAATTTGGCATCGTTAGTTTTAAGACAACTGGTCTTTTACCATAATATAATAATATAATATGGGGAAATACTAGTTGCTACTGTTTGAGAATATTTTTTGATACAAATTTTACCACCTTACACATTATTACATGTTTGTTTTAGTGATGTATGATTTCTTTAATACTTTCTGAAATAAAATAAAAAAAGTTTGGATGCATTTACTATTGACAATTTTAAAAGTATTCCTTTTCCCAGATGCTTTAGTCTTGTATCTAATCGCATATAGTTATAATACATGATAAAATCCTGTATATAGCCATCATGTGAGTACTGAATACGGTCTATGATCACATATACACTGCTCAAAAAATTTAAGGAACTCTTTGAGAACACATCAGTTTATATACACATATATATAATTATATGTATATATGTATGCGTTGGATAGCTATACAAATATGGACAGGATAATGTCTTAGGAGCAAAAGGATGCCACCTCTTAATGGAAATGAATAACAGGTGCACTAGAGTGTTATCAATGAGACAGCCCCTAAAACAGGACTGTTTTTTCATGTGGAGGTCATTTGAAGTTTCTCCCTCTTGGACTTTTTTTTTTTTACTGGTTTTCCACTAGTGCTGCTTTAGCTGAAGTGATTATTACTACTGAGAGTATGAGGTCATTCCTTAGTAGCACAGGTTGCCCAACTTCTCCAGGATGGCACATCCGGACGTGCTGTGGCAAGGAGATTTAATGTGTCTCCCAGCACAATATCCAGAACATGGAGGAGATTTCATGAGACAGGCATTTAGCCGACTCTTAAGAGAGCTGGACAACCCATCAGCAGTACCCATATCTGCTCCTTTGTGCAGGAGAAACAAGTTGAGCACAGCCCATGCCCTACAGAATGACTTCCAGCAGGCAACTGGTGTGAATGTCTCTGCCTAAGCAATTAGAAACAGACTTCATGAGGGTGGCTTGAGGGCGCTGTAGTGGGCCCTGTGCTCACCGCTCAGCACCGTGAAGCTCCACTGGCATTTGCTAAATGGCACCAGAATTGGCGAGTCTGACTCCCAGAGCACCTATGATAGACATGAAAGAGTCTGGAGAAGACAAGGAGAACGCTCTGCAACATTGTTCAGCATGAGAGGCTTGGTGGTGGGTCAGTGATGGTTTGGGGAGGCATATCCATGGAGGGACAGACAAACCTCTACTGGCTAGAAAATGGCAGCCTGACTGCCATTACGTATTGGAATGAAATCCTTGAACCCACTGTCAGACCCTACACTATTGCCGTAGGTCCTGGGTATCTCCTGATGTACGACAATGACACCGGCCTCATGTGGCAAGAGCATGCAGGCAGTACCTGGAGGATGAAGGGACTGCTAAAACTGAATTGCCCTCACGGTCACCTGACTTAAACCCGACAGAACACCTCTGGGACATTATTTTTGGGTCCATCAGACGCCACCAGCTTGCTTCTCAGACTCAGGAGGTCAGTGATGGCCTTACACAGATCTGGGAGGACATCCCACAAGACACCATGCATTATCGCATTAGGAGCAAACCATAACTTTGTCAAACATGCATAAGAGCATGTGGCACACAAGATATTGAGATTTTTGAGTAGCAGAAATTTAATTTTGGCAAAATGGACTAGCCTGCCACATCATTATTTCACTTTGATTTTCAGGGTGTCTATAAAAATTTTATTTCCAAAAAAAAAGACATTGCGTATATATATACTGCTACTAACTAAGTTAGGGATATTGAGAGAGAGCCAGTGAATGTCATATATACGGTGTTTGTTTTACTTCAGAAACTTTTGGGATAGGGAGGCAATTGTATTGGGGTGACGGACACACCTCATTTTGTGTTTTCCATGTAATGGTCTCACTGTGTACAGTGTGTCTTACATATTGAAGCCAAAACCCTTTTTAATGTGGCATCAATTTCAACATTCTGTGGGTATAAAAAGCTGGTATTGTCAAGTCATTCCAAGTCCACAATTCAAACGGCCATGAACACACGACGTCACTTAACAGACGAGTAGCGCCACCTAGACATACCGCGCCTTCTGGGTCAGTGGCAAGCAGTCAAATGTTGCTCGTGAACTTGGTGTGTCTCAAAGTGTCATCAGCAGACTTGCATCAAGACACAGAACTACTGGCAGAGTTCGTGACAGACCCAGGAGTGGAGCCTCATGAGTGACAGACCGCAACGATGACCAGTAACTAAGAACCTATGGACTCAGACCTGTTCACTGATAAGTGTCGGGTCACTTAGCAAAGAAATGATGGTCGTCAGCGTTGCTGGAGAAGGCGAGGTGAGCGATACGCCGAGGTCAACATGGTCCTCAGGGTTCGCTTTGGTGGAGGAGGTGCAACAGTCTGGGCAGGCATCACCAGTTAGCGCAAAACAGATTTGGTTGCTGTAGATGGCTCAGTCACTGCATGTTCTTACCTCAGAGACTTCATTGAACCCATCATCATCCGCAATTCCGCCAGCACCCCCCCAACTTTCTGTTCATGGATAATAATGCTCCACCACATCTTGCCAGAATTGTCACAGCTCGACTTCAGGAAGTCGGAGTGCCTCATATGGTACGGCCAGCACTGTCCCCTGACCTGAACCCCATAGAGCATGTCTGCGACCAGCTGAAGCAGAGACTGGATGATCGTAGCCCACCTCCACGTGACCTGGTGGAACTGCATGTAGCACTGGTGGAAGAGTGGAACACATTGCCTCAGAACAACATCATGAGGCTAGTGAGGAGCATGAGAAGCCGTTGTCAAGCTGACATTACGACAAAAGGTGGGAACACCCGCTACTGACATTGTTCATTTTTGTTACTTGGGACTATCCTTGTTATTGTCTAAATTTTGGGGGTAATACATATTAAACTAATGAAAATGGTGTTTCTTCTCATTCATTCTTAGTAATATCAAAGGGACAAAGGGAACTTTTACTTATTTCATTAAAATTCAGACCAAATAGGAAAAGCACTCATGTAAATAACGTAATCAGAGTACAAATTATGAGTAACTGTATCCAGTTACAGTTACTGTTTCAGTGAGTGGTAACTGGATTACAGTTACTTTGTTGAAATAAATGGATTACACAGAGGTATTTGCCTGTTTTCACATTTCGGACTACATTCATTGCCGGACACTAAACCAGGTCTAAACCAAATCTAAACCAGGACTAAACCTAGACTAAAACCAGGTCTAAACCAGGTCTAAACCAGGTCCAAACTAGGTCTAAACTAGGTCTGAACCAGATCTAAACCAGGACTAAACCAAGACTAAACCAGGTCTAAAACCAGGTCTAAACTGTGTCTCAGACAAGACTAAAACAGGACTAAACCATGCCATGCGGACAGTGAGTGCGTATACATGCACATCAGTAACCCGGTTATTAGCCATATCCCGGTTATGTCAGTATTCGGGTTACTGCGTATACATGCACCATTAAGAAACCGTGATACTCAAAAAACCCGATCATAACCGGGTTATTGATGTGCATGTATACGCACTCGATGTTTCCTCCTCTTCTATCAATAATATTTTTAATTTGGTTAAGTAAAGTCTATGCTTTTCTTTTCTTTTATCAGACAAAACTTCTTATGTTATGATTCCCTCGTCTTTGTTTCTCTACAGCAAATCAAGTAATCTTAAGTATTCATATTACGTTACTTACCTTAAGTAACTTAATGGATTTCGTTACAAACTACATTTTGGGATATGTAATCTGTAATCTGTAGGGGAATACATTTTAAAAGTAACCTTCCCAATAATGTATATAAATTATTTATTTATTTGTTTGAGCAGTGTGTAGGAGCAAGGAGCAGACCAACCACTAGGGGTCTCACTTCAGATCTGAATACAGCGTCCAAAAGTTTACCTCGCTGTCAAATGGCTCTCACGGCATGTACGCCAGAGGAACGAGGACATTCTTTCAAAATTCGGCACACTATTCATGAGGGACAAGTGTGACAAGTGATAAATAAGCGATTTTGAACCACTGTGGGAGAACTATGGCAGTAGACCAAGAGCAAAATAGGCAGCGCATTAAACAGCTCTTGAGGAAACCTGGTAACAACCACTGCGCGGACTGTGGAGCGGCAGGTAACGATCTGTTTTCGCTTATTCTTTGAAAATGCAATATTTAATTAAATACGTTGTTAAGAGCCTAACTTAGGCTATTTGACCCGCTTCTATCCTAAAATCGCAGCACAAACCCCAAAAAGCACAATTTTCTAGATTAGCTATCCTGTTTTAGATTTTTAATTATATACATTTAGGCATAGATTACTGAGTTCACCGTCAATGTCAACATCATTCAAACTATTGGATGTCAAATACAAAAAATCTTGCGCTTTTGAACAGGGCAGAGATGTACATTTTTAATATTTGTAAATTTATAGTTTAGGCTACAAACTCTTTTGATTAATACCCTTTTATCTTATAGGCTACTGCCTAATTGGTGGCTTACATTACAGAAATGTGGGCGTGACTATCATACATAAAGCTCCTTGTCTCCTTTGTACACATGCACATCCTTTATGTATGCTTAGATATGATTATAAAGCAGGAAGCCACATCATTTTTTTTTTTTTAATCCAGTTAAAGGTTTAAATATTCTCTTGCTTAACCATTTATGAAAACAAGCTATAACCAATTTGAAACCAGATCAGAAGGCCTCATTTCCTATTTGCCAATATGTAATAATATTTCATGTTGATATCATAATATTTCATGCTGTTCAAATAAATTACCAGAACTGAACTTATTCCATATAATAGTGAGTCCATGTGCAGAAATGTTTTTTTAACATTTTTTTTCATAATTGTGCTACAGATCCAGAGTGGGCTTCGTACACACTGGGTGTATTTGTGTGTCAAAGCTGTTCTGGGCTCCACAGAAATATTGCCCAGATCAGTAAGATCAAGTCTGTGCTGCTTGATCCCTGGCGTCTTTCTGAAGTAGAGGTAGGAGCTACAGATGGGAATACATTCAAATGCATCAAGGAGAAATTATTATTATTACTATATATATATATTTTTTTTTCACAAAAGTTGTAATGCTAATGCATTCGTCTTTTATTGTTACAGTTTATGGGCTCAGTGGGAAATGATGCTGCCAGGGCCAAATATGAAAAGCAAGTTCCATCGTTTTATTATCGACCATCATACAAAGACTGCATGTAAGCTTTCTATGCCATTCTGAAAAATGTCACTCTACTAGGGTTTCCATGCCACAAAGCGGTTGTTGAAAATATCCCTTAGCTACTGTACTCAAAATCAATTCTGTTTTGTGTTTAATAATGTTTCTTTTGACCAGAATAATGCATTGAAGGATATATATAGTGAATGTGGTGAGACTATAAGATAGATGTAATAAATATAGATTAATGTAATAAATATGTTGTAACACCACTAGTGTGGGTCTTTGGATCAAGCCAAATTATTCACTTTAATTCTCTAGGCTTCTTCGAGAACAATGGATCCGAGCAAAGTATGAGAGGAAGGAGTTTATTAATGTGGAGAAGCAAGAGCCATACACTGCAGGTATGAAGCACAGTGTTAAAAACATAAACAAAACTGTTATGAGTGTGAAATTAGTTCATTGTCACACAACCTGAAGCATTTAATGGTAAACTAAACTATAGCCTACTATACTACCCAAAAGTAGTTTTATTCAGTAAGTATTAGAGAAATTCATACATCTCACTCTGTCTATTGCCATGTGCCAATCTAATTAATTTTAAATTTTGTCTTGACAATATACACTTACTCAAATATACAATTACACAATTGCAAAAGGCAAAACCCATCATGTAGCAATCTCACCGCAATGGACATTGTCTGTGCTGAAAATAGAGATATGTGTCTCTTCTACTGAGTGTGTTGCTATTGTAGACTTTCTTCTGAAATGACTCACATCCTTAAGTAAAAAAAAAGTTCAGATTAACTTGAGTTAACCCCATTTCCCATGTTGTAAAATGTACCAGTATATTTGCTGTTAAGTCACCACAACACAAACCAGGACAACCTGCAACATGTATTATTACAACTGTAATATATTGTTGCATTTTCATGGAATTTACGTAACAGCTAAATATCATTCTCCTTGGGCCTTTGTCCTTCTCAATAGAGTCTTGTGTTTGGTTCTTTGTGTCTGTCGCAGCCAAAGAATGAACTCTTTTGTTTAAATGTATTCAATGCACATCTCACATTTTAGACTAGATTGTAATTACAGAGTCAGTATTTTTGCATGATCTCACCGTATTGTCACATGTATCTGCAGAACAAACTTGATCTCTTTAGTCTTGAGAGACCACTTCCTGTTCTTAGAATAATGTGCGTTATTGCGAATGATTTAGCCCTCCCACTTTTTTGTCCTCATCGGTCGACGAAAGCATTGTACCACAGAACTGATGAAATCATTGTTTTACAACCAAACATTGCCTAAACATTTGTACAAACAAAAGTTTGTATTGTATTTTTGGAGAGATAAGCCATCTCTCCAAAAACACATAAAAAATGTTTGCATTACCCCAAAATGGACAGACTAGATATCAAGTTAGTAGTCAGAAACACATCTCATTATATACATTGAATAGAAAGTCACTTTGGTCTATGTGTTTTAGTGAGTGATATGGTTATTGCCCAAAGAGGAAGCAGTCGGTCACAGAGCTGAAGTAATTATGTCAACCAAACTGTGACAACTGTAACTGCAAATAACTGTAGTAGTTTTTAGTGGTTAAAATACAAAAACCAAGGCTTTGCCCCAGTTCTGGTATCACGGTTTCTGTGTAAAATTATCCCATAATAGAAGGCACATGTCAGATTGAAACTTTGTGTGGTGTGGTGTGTGTGTGCGTGTGCGTGTGTGTGTGCGCGTGCGTGCGTGTGTGTGTGTGTGCTCCTTTCATTTTAGGGAGTAACAGTTGTGTACATGTCCATTTGTTTTCTTTTGCTAGGTTACAGAGAGGGGTTTTTATGGAAACGTGGCAGAGACAACGGGCAATACCTCAGTCGAAAGTTCATTTTGTCTGAACGAGAGGGTGTTTTGAAGTACTTCAACAAACATGATGTGGGTTGTTTTACATTTTAAATGTATTTGTTCTCAGATATTTTTGTTACTTGTTTGATCTTTCCAGGCCAGAGAACCCAAAGCCATTATGAAGTTTGAAAGTGTGAATGCCTGTTTTCAACCTGCAAAAATTGGCACTGCCCATGGCTTACAGATCACTTATTTAAAGGAAAACAGCACAAGGAATATATTTGTATATCATGAAGATGGCAAGGTATCTGTAGCAGTCACTGTAATAGTTATGTTTAAGGTATAAGTAATAGTCACATTATAGCACTAACCATAATTCTTAACATCCACTGTTCAGGAAATGGTTGACTGGTTCAATGCCATTCGTGCTGCCAGGTTTCATTACCTTCAGGTGGCATTTCCCATAGCCTCTGTTTCTGAGGTGAGGACATCCACACACACATTGGGTTAAAAATAAAAAATAAAGGTAAAGAAACAAAAAGCCTTTTTTACATATCCAGTATTAAACTGCACACACACAGCATTATTTAATATTATATTTAGCAATAGAAACAGGTCCATTGACTTCCTGTTCTAAACTGGAGAACTGAGAAGCCTTGTCCCTTTGTGACATATTACTGTAGCAAGCGGCAGATATTCATATACTGTTTTTTTGGCAACAAAAAAAAAACAAACAAACAAAACAAACAAACCTAGATCAAGCCCTGGAGATGACACTGCACTGTAGTAGTGCTCCTGACAGGTTACCCCAGCGGCATTGAAGGGTCAAATGCAGAGGTCAAATTTCACTACTTAGACAGTGAAATAAAGTGTGCTGTTCACACTGGTATCTAACTCTGTCTACATTTGTATGGTATGATAGTAGTCTTTGCTCTTTGCCCAGCTCTTGCCAAAACTAACCAGAAACTTCATAAAGGAGGGTTACATGGAGAAAACAGGCCCAAAGGTAATGCATATTTACAGTCCAGTTCTGTTTACTCAGTTATACGTAGTTATTATGCAACATGGTGTTTTATCTTTACAGCACACAGAAGGTTTCAAGAAAAGATGGTTTACAATGGACGACCGGAGGCTCATGTACTTCAAAGATCCTCTGGTGAGAAAAAGTTGTAAGTGCATACCTCCACCAACAGAGGTCACCCTAACCTTGAGTTACCACATTTAGGATGCCTATGCAAGAGGTGAGGTGTTCATAGGCAGCAAAGAAAACAGCTACAGCCTGGTTCCTGACTTTCCATCAAACATCCAAGGAAATCACTGGCAGTTTGGTATCACCATAGTAACCCCAGACAGGATGTTCCTTCTGGCATGTGAGACTGAAAAAGAGCACAGAGACTGGATAAATGCAATTCAGACTGTTATGGACCGACCAATGCTGCCTCACGAATATGCAGGTAGAGCACTTAAGGTACAATTATATTAAATTGGTGTTAGATAATAAACACAGTGTTAATGTCTTTTTGTGTTTTGTTGCAGTGGAGGCCTACTTTAAACACAAACCATGACCATCCATTTGACAGTCTTCACATGTGGAGCAAAGTCAATGCCACTTGGGTATATTTTAAAGAAAATACAAACAGTACTAAAGAAATAATTCAAATACAATATTACTTTTACTGTTATATCATTATTTATTATCAGATCAGGTTCAGTCATTACTCTATGTAAAAGGGTAATACTTTATGTCCAAATCCTGCTGCTTTGTCATTTACCGGATTTGGGGTGTTCTTCATTTATTTAACAGTGCACTATGAAACATTTCAGATGGAGGGTCTGCCATCTGCTGGTCTCCATGCAGATGTTTAAACTTTGTTCGAAATAGTCCACAGTATAGCATTAAACATTTATTCAATTACAGGTGTTTTTATTACTCAAAAACATTCACTAGGAGGCTGTTCTCTCCATAGATCTGACATGTAACTTGACCCGGTGAAGTCTCCTGCTTGTTTTCATGGGGGAAGTTAAGTAAGTTAAGTTTAATGCCATACTGTGAAATATTCCACCATAACATAATGCACATAAAGGCGCAGTTTCAAGTATTTAACTGTTTTCTTTCTCTCTTTTTTTTTTCTTCAAACTGGCAGACTCGAACAGTATTTTTATAGATCCTATAATATCCTTGAATGTACCAAATATATTATCAAACAAAAGTGTATACAAAATAAAATACATATTTTATTATAATCTTTAGTTACAATAAATTAAAATAAATAATAATTACAATAGCAGTCTTGTCAGGATTATAGAGCAAGTATATACTGCTTATTGAACACTGAACATTCAAACTATGTCTTCGCTACATTTGTCCATATTGTAGGATAATCAGTAATTCCATGTCATTATTCTTTTAGTTGTTTCAGCTGATATGAAATTTGACATTATTTTAACAAAATTGTTTAAGCTATTGTAATAGATTAACCATTACAGTATATTATAATATATATATACTATAATAATGTTACTTGTCAAACTGCACACACATTTAATATAAAATGTTTTTCATGTTTGTAACATGCAGATAATGTATACTCCTATCACATTTTAACTTAGCAAACATTCATTACAATCTAATTAAAATGAAAATGTATATAAACATATGTCTTGTTTTTTGCATCCAGTCTGAGATAGGTATCTTTACAGGAAATAGTGATATATATATATGCACCATTACACTATACATAAAGTAATACATATTTCCAATATGAAAAGTGGTGGTATGCTGGTGGTAATAGTAGAAGTACAAATGGCACAGAATGAACCACACTGAGATCATGTTGCACAAGAGACATGTAATGATTTCACCTTTTTTGCCATGTCTTATTCTTGCTTATAGCTTGATATGTGAAATACAGAAAATACTGGTGAATCTAAAACAGCATCATGTTTTCAAAGAATTGTATTTATGGAGATAATAGTTTTGTCCTTGTTTTGCAAATGCAGAAAGACAGTGAGGTCAGCCGACTGGGGTCTAACAGCAGCTCGTCCCCCTCATCTCTTTGTTGACGTATTCTTGGAGCTTGAACGTTTCACTGGGATCCTTCATAGACCTGTGTTTTAGCTCTCTATCAGAACAAAAGCAAACACTGATTATTAGCATGGTGTAGCAAGCAGGTTGCTAGCTGGAGTTAACTTTTGTTTTATTTTGGCAAGCACTATTAATATGTAAAGAAAGGGCAGAATAACTGAGTGAACACATTATCGAAGTACAGCTATAGTGTAAATATTAACTCTCCCAAACTAATTCTCACATTTGTACAAAAAAGTTACAATAGAACTGTATTCGTGTTAACTTATTGAGAGGACCAAGGCTATTATGAAACTGTAACCAGACACTCATTATTTTTTCTGTAGAAAATGTTTCTGAAAGCTGCTAGAAATGTCTGTGAACAACTCACTTTGCCACAGCAGTGAAGGCCAGCTCCACATTTAGACCAGACCTGGCACTGGTCTCCATGAAGGGGACTCCAAACTCCTGCACAACAGAAAACATTCAGCATTTTATTGAACATATTCTGGCACACACAATTTAAGCGTGGCCTTTATAACTGTACATGCTCTCCATCACCTGTGACATTGTGTTGGCATTGTGTCATTTACCTTAGCAAGTCTCTCACCATCTTCTCTCTTCACCACTCTCTCATGTGTGGAATCAGCCTGGTAAAGAAAAACATAAATCTTTTTTTTGTTGTTTTGTTTTGTTTGTTTTTTTTAAAGAAAATTTAATCCCTCTACCAACGAAGACAGACAACCCACAATGCCTTGCCTTGTTTCCTAGCAGCATGAGCACGACATCTTGTTGTGCATACTCATGGATCTCGCTTAGCCATGCCTAGTAACAAGTACAGAGAGACAGCTGTTAGACACAATACAGGGGACAACAAAACTGGCCACATGCACAAGAGTCCAATACTAATGTCCCATTAAAGGGTCAGTGAGGAGACCATGTCTGGGGTTTGACAAGGACAAGTCGAGCAATAATCTAATAACACAAGAGCAGGCATGGCATTCAGAAACTAAATCTCTCTAATGGATGACAAAGAGAGCAGAAACATAGAAAGGCCTTGAATAGTCTATTCAAATGTATTCTGTTGTTATTCAGATAATAGGTGAACATTCAGCTTACAGTAAAGTTGATTCGTTTGATTATTTTTTGTGTAACTAGATGAACTTTGAACATTTTAATAGTGCTCTTCTTGTGATGAACATATGAAATTGCAAACTGATTCCCTTTTGAAAATACATGTAATAGCAATTAATTTTAAATGCATTCAAATGGTTCTACAGTGATGGGGTCTTTTTTAATGAACTGTCTGCATATTTTTCAGCTGCTCTTGAGTAATTAATTCAAGTAATGACAAAGCGTTTATCGCAGGGCAGGGGTTGTCTGTAGTCAACGGCTGTGTTAAATAATGTAATGAGCCACTGTGGGACTTGAATTCTTCAAAAAGTAACATAATCTTGATATGAATATAATTTTAAACAGTCTAATTGATAACCTGTGTGGTGTCTTTACTTTATTTTTTAGTACTTAATCAATCTGCCAAAAAATAAACTCTGCTAAACAGTTGTAAAATATTTGGGTAAAATTTTTAAATAAACTATCACATCTGTAGCTCATTGTTTTACATTTTGTTCTCAGCAAAACAAAATCTTCTTAAACAAGTGACTTCAAAACTGCAGCTTATTCTCTGCTGATAACCCCGCCTCTTCATTGTGGCATTTTATTATAGTAAGCAGCAGATTGTCATGTTGAGTGTTTTTATTTTAGAAAAAGGAGTGTTTGACCCAGAGTGATCTTTTTGCAATTATGTTCAGAGCCAAACATTTTCTTGACCCAAAATACAAATCATAAAACCTCATAAGTTGATTTTACATTACATGCTTATTTACAGCTCATGCAAACTTTACCATAAGCAGGATTTAGGTCTAAGTCAGCTAACTCCTTCTAATATTTTCTTTGACCTGAAAACAAAACTTTCACAAAGTGCACATCTTCCTCTACAGCTGCCCCCTGCTGGTGACACTCCCAGCTGGAGAGGAGCTGATGTGACAAGAGGAGAGGCCTGACAACAAGTGAGGGGGGAGATGAAGAGTAAAGCATCAGAGATCAGTGCAGATGAAAGAAGAGCAGATGGCGCTTGCACAGTGACAGCACTGCAACTAGAGCATACATCACAGTGAGAATTTATGTGGTTTGATTTCAGTTTGGGGTTATGAAGTGCTTAGGGTTTAGTTGTTAACGCCAAGAGTAAGAAATATGCTGTCACATTTTCTGTTGCTAGTGCTTTGAAAAAAGTGTGTAGCTCCTGCTGGAAATGGGATTTAAAAAAAAAAAAATCACCAAGATTCACCAAGGCTCGTTTAGATAAAAAGTAAAAAATAGCTACTGACTAAAATGAATATATTTCCGTTTTTTTTTTTTTTTTTTGTGTGTGTGTTTTTTTAAACTTGACTTCGTGGAATCTGTGAGACATTTTAGGGGGTTTCCTTATTTCCTATTTTGTTAGATTTTCCATGTGTATTCCTGTTAAAGGGCCCATACTATTTTCTGATCTATGTTATAATGATGTTTCCTTATCTAAAACTTGTGTTTAGAGTTGTGTTTTGTTTCATTCACACACGTTTAACACACAAATCCTGCATATTTCTTCTCTCAAACAGAAAACACTCCACATCCACCTTGTGATGTCATGTGGCAATACAGGAAATGCTCCACTGTGTTTTCAAACTCTATACACCTTCACTAGAATCATTTGGATGATTTCAGCTCTTCAATTGCCAATCTGTACTGAACAAAATGCAAAAGGTAGCTGTTAATTTAAAAAATACCACTACATGACATCACACGGTGGAACAGAGCATTTTGCGCAGGCATGTCCAAACTATGAAGATAAAGAAAGGGATAAAGCACTGGACTCATTTTAACTTGTAAATGTACATATTACAATTATTCAATGAGCACCAGTCTATGGTCCTCTCTTTTAAATGGGCCCTGGATGAAAAATGTTTTGAGTTTCTGATTTTGAGCTTTGAAGATGTGGACAGACTAAAAATAAAGGGTCAATCAAATGTGTGTGAATGAAACAAAACAACTCCAGGTATGTTTTTGATGAAGAAACAACATTCTAACATTGCATAAAACTCACAATAGTCAATTCCGCATAATATAAGACCTTTAATTAAACAAACGAAAGACAGTTGCCAGAACAGAGTGAGAGACTGCAACTGAAGTACCATGGCAATACATACTCCTGACACTACTACTCTGTACTATTCTGAATACTTATATAGAACTAAAAACTAATTTCTTGAATATTTTAATGTTTACCAGTTGCTTTGTGTGGCACAGATTGACAAAATAAGTACATTATAACAAACAATGACTTAACTACTTGACAGCTATGTGCCCCTGGAAGCCTGAGTATCTATCTGCGTGACCTAACCTCCCCTCTGTTTTCCTTTTATCTGAGCAGCCTTACTTGGAGTGACAATGCTATTCTTGCCAAACTTTGATCAGTTGGGGCATTCGCTCTGGAGAGGGAGCGGAGATGTCTACAACTTGTGGAGCTGACTGAGGCAAGTCTCAGTAACACTGGGGAAAGTAGGCCTAGTCTCCAGAGATCCAATATGGCTGACAGAAGTATTTATTATATGCCAACTATCTGGAAGTTATAATTGCACTTCAGCAGTTTTTAATTTGAGAACTTTGTGCATGCAGTACAAGTTGGTGACACCCATAGATTACAGGATGGTTCCTTAAAGGTGCACTATGTAGCTTTTTGGTTGAGGGACCATCGCCTGCTTGTTTCTACGGATGTGCTGGATGTGCTCTGCTTGGAATTCTCCACAGTGACTTTAAACAGCTTTACCTTACATTTATTCAATTACAGATGGTTTTATAGCTTTAAAATATCGAGAAAAACAGGCATTCTGACTGTGAGCGGGGTCGCCTCTCCACAGATCTGACCTGTAAATTAGCCTGGTTTTGCCTCCATGAAGATAGGTTTCTTTAGCCTGTTTTATCAGCCGGTTTCATTTTGTGGAAACTGTCTGACCTTGCAGCATTAGGATTTGTTCGCTCGACGGCGGGTACTTTTTTAAATTTACCCAAACGCTGCTATTTGGTTGTGACATATGTAATGCGCCACTAACGGGGCTAACTGGCTTAAGCTTTTCCCAAACCCAATAGGAAAAAAGGCAGTAATGTCTTTCCCCTTGATAAAATTCACTAAACATTCTCTTTGTTCCCTCTTTAAAGCCTCGATCTTGGAATTGTTGCCAACACAGAATGTATGGCTTCATCTACATCCATCTCGATTGCTTTGTTTACTGTTGTGCTGTACCACACAGCTCTTCGCTGATTGACTGGTGTGCGGTCTACAACTTCCGGGGTTCTTGCAAGCTGTCTAGTGTATTCTGATTCCTGACCTAGTCACTGGAGAGAAATGAAATTGAGTGGAGGCATTAGGAGGCTTAGAAGCTTCAAGTTGATTTTAGATCAGTATTCATTCAGCCAATCAATCATTCAACCTTTATTGAACACCTAGCCAAATTTGGGCCGGTGCGGTGGCTCCCAGCCCTCAATTCCCTCCGTCCCCAAACTGAGCCCCCCAGTTCTCTATACTTTCCGCCCAAGAATGTAACATAATAATGCTTTAATTTTATGGATGTACAGAGGAAGGTCAAAATGTCAAGTGGGCGAGTAAAATGCAAATTCAGTGTGCTTCTTCATAATAGAGCAGATGTGTCACTCAACCATCGTTTAGTTCTAAAATATACATGTGTGGAGTGAAGGGGCTGAGGCTCGGGGGGGAGAGGAGGGGCACGGGGTGAGGGGGGGCCGAGGCTGCAGGTGTGTGTGCACATCTGCAACGCTCATTATCACGTCGTCCTCCTGAGTTGTGGGCCAGTATCTCACAGATCAGCCATGACCAAGATGGACGCCCTGTCACTTAGTTCACATGCTTCTATCTTGGTCAAAGAGTTGGTCCTGACTTTACTTTACTTTATGAATAAAAAGTAAAGGGTTAAATGTTTGAAAGAAGATAACCTGCAATTACTTAGGCCAAAAAGAGCAAACAAAATATTGTGTATTCATGGGGTCATATCATGCAAAACGCTAAAAATGCCTGTAGTTTAAAGCATTCTTGTGTTAGTTTTGCCATCTCAAATATTTATTCTCCATTTAAAGGTGCATTGTGTAACTTTTCTGGTGGAGGGTCCGTCAAAGGCTTTTCTCATTTGAGATGTTATTGCTTTGTCTGGAATGTTCCACAGTATAGTATTAAACCTTTCTATCTTCATGGAGACCAAACCAGATCAAGTTACAGGTCAGATCTGTCAGAATGCCAGTTTTTCTAGGCATTTTTGAGGTAAAACTACCTGTAAATGAAAAAAAATGTAAGACAGAGCTGTTTAATGTCATACTGTGGAACATTCCAGGCAGCGCAATGAATTATCCACAGAAACAAGCAGGTTACATAGTACATAGTAAGCACTGTAAACTGAATGTTGATTTATAATTATACAGCCCAATCTAATCAAAATTAATATTGTACTTAAGATATGTTTTATGGAAATGATTCAGCCCTAATTCCTAACCCAAAATAGTCTGGAGAGTATCAAAGCAAAACAAAAAGCTTTGCATCATTGTAGAACATCTATCAGAGCTTTTGACTGCACAAGAAAAACAATGGGATTATGCAGAGCTGGACAGAGTTGAGTAACAAGCCTTTGATTTTGAGTTTAATAATAAAAAAAGAAGCACAGTCAGCCAATCACTGTTGGGTTTGTGCCTCTTCACAGGTGCTTCCTTCTGAAGTTTGTGAAAAACAGAAGGCCTTTGTGATCTGCAGAACATCAGCAACAGCACAAGTGAAATGAGAGGTGAGATGCCTCGCTCACTAGCACACATGCATACACACACACACACACAAACACACACAAACACATGCAGAGGATCTAATCAAAGACCTGAAAAGTTGCTGACAAACCTCAAAATGCTGTAAACCAGGAATTTAAGGTACTGACTGTACTTTAGAGTCTTTAGGTATAATTCTCATTTATTTTTTAAGATCATAAACACGGAATTTTCTCTTTTTCCTGCTTTTCACGTAACCCGCATTGATTTTGTAATCCATTGTCTTGTCTCTCTTTTTAGTCACATAATACAATTGTAGCCAATGAGACTTATTGCCTAAATCAACAAAACTGAAAATCTCATGATCTTATTTATCTTGTCTTTAAGTTCTCATAAAAATACATTAAATATACAATATAAAGAGCTTGACATTAGAGCCATAATTTACACAAATTGAACAGATCAGATGAGGTTGGATCTTAAGATGCAGATACTGTTGAGTGACTGTTGTATGAATGAAACATTATGTACTGACAGTTTGTGTCATCACCATCTGCTGTGGCGGTGCCTGACATTTTGCTAACAGCTCAGAGTGGGCACCAGGGTCACCATTAGATTTGATGCCAGTGTGGGCCCAGAGGAGGACACTGACAGATGAATGAGCGCTCACATATGAGCCTTTGTCTCTTTTATAGCGTGCCAGTGTCCACTAACAGACAACAGCAATGCCTGCCTCCAAACCACCAGCAGGTAAAACTGGAATCTTGCTCTAACTTAGTATAACAACTGTATTCCTGTTCATAGCTTTTCCACATTGAAACCAATGCATTCAAATATAATTCTACAAAGAAATAAAATACTGCATTTTGGGCCTGTGTGATTAATAAAATTTTAATTGAAGCAAGATTTAATAGTCTCATGTCAATCGTAAGAGTGGCTCTTGTTTATTGAGAAGTCTACAGCCAGTCCTCTGTAAAGCATGTGGCTTGGAGCTCAGACTTTGGAGGATTTTTTTGTGTTATGTTTCATGGATTAAACTAAACTGAAGTCTCATTTATGAAATTAATATTAAAAGCAATTTTTAAGGAAAAAAAAAAATCTAATTATGAATTACGATCGATTGAATTATGATCGATCAATATGAAAAACAAAAATCACATCCAGTCACAGTCCCTGTCCTTTTGGGAAGGACAGGGCATAATAAAGTCAACTTTTTTCAAACTTGATATATTCACTACAATAATGGACAGACCCATGGACACTAATGATTCCCTGTAGCCCAGTGTGAGGCAGTGAAGCTGGTGAGGAACAGTGTGATGTAGCCCTGTATTTGTGGCTGTGCTCTGGAGCGGCATTCATCACCATTAGTGTTCATTTCCATGAGTTAGTGCGGGTTTGTGCCACAGGCTTCTGCAGCTCACTGCTCATTCATTTCACCAAACACAGAGAGACTGAGGTCAGGGGCACATACAGACAGCTGCAATTGGGGGCTGACAAGATTTATAACATTTCAAATTTATTTATAATGAGAAATACTATCTCACTTTTTCATTAAACTAGAAGTGAGTTTAATACTGCTTTCATCCCCACCCCCTCCACCCCCTTTTCTTTTAAACTTTTTGTTTTCTGGCAAACTAATAGGAATAATCCCTTATTCATCCAGGACTGGTCCAAGGCTTTCAATGTCATCTGGACAATGGAAATCAAAACATTACAACTGCAATCTGGAAGTCATTATCCATCTTTTTGCAAATGCCTAATATCTATTAGTAGTAATAAGTAAGCAGAGATATGTACTATTTAACGTATGTATTAGTTTTAATTGGTCTTATAATTTATTTCCATATTTATTTAAACCACCACAACAAACCAAATAATTTAATTACATCTTATTTATGCTGAATTACCAGTATATGCCAAAAAAGTACTAGGCCCCCACTTTATGTGCTCTTTAACTGAATGCAGTACAACACAACACACCAACTCTTCCTCGTGAATCCCATTAGCCCATTAGTGAAGAGTTCAAAGATCAGCAGTTTGTGAGGACCATCGAAACCCATTGTAGTCCCTAGTGTTGAGTTTGCATGTTTTCCTAATGCCGTCTCCTAGTCGTTTAAGGGTAGTGACCAAAACTGTAATAAAAGTCTTGCCTTTGATTGATAAATGCTTTAAATCTGAATACATCTCCATGGAGACAGACACAAACTGATGCAGTGCAGATAAGAGGCAGGAGAAAAGGGTTTATTATCCAGGGCAGGACACACAAACTGCCAATAAATCACAGTTAATCCTTTGCTATCCTGATTTAACTTAACATGTGTCAGTTTCTCTCAAAAGCTAAGTTAAGATAAGATCTCAAACTGTCAAAACAAAGGATAATGGTTCTACTCCCATTCCTCCAAGTCCTACTGTATTGTTGAGCATGACACATTTTGTTTTTGGTGTCTGTGTGAATGTAAGGGTTGATGCATCAATGAGTCAGGCATAATGTTAGAAGCAAATGCACGTACATCCCAATATATAGAACATAAAATATGGTTTTGACACATTGACCATTTTTAACTGGCAACAACCTCACAAAACTCACACCGGGGATAGTGCCATGAAGATGGCGGACTGCAGAGAAAACCTGTTTACATCAACTAACCGCACACATCTCACAGCAACATCAAGTGACCACTCTGAGGAAGAACGCTATTGAGAAACCAAAATGGTCAAGTATGAAAATGAACTAAACCTTGGTTTGAAAGCGAGTAGAGAGTTTTCCAGTTAAAGGGACAGTCTGGAATTTTAGACAGAGAGTCTCATTTCCTAGTTAGCCAGAGTGTTGGAGACGTGTGGAGACATTTTTTAAAATATTCCATCCAGTCCTTGTATTTGCAGAAGTCACTGGTGCTAGGCTAGTGCATGTCAATGACCATAGATAGCCTGCCACTAAACACCATCTTACCCACTCCACAAAACACCCAAAGCAAATCTGTTTGTTATGCCAGACTGTCAATGTGAATGTCTGTGTTAATAGAATAATATTTGAAATAAAACTAACCCTGCATCGCATGAATCACTGCATGTTGAGGACCTAGTTTCTCAGCAGCAGCAGAATTTTACTTTGACAATAAGATAAGTGCTCGGTGATATCAATCCGCCACTGCCAAGCTTTCTATCGGGAAGTACAACTCACTGCTGCTGCTCAGACATAACTCCTTCAAATGCAAGGTTGGTTTTACTTCTTAAATTATTCTATCGACACAGACATTTACATCAACAGTCTGGCGTTATAATTGTTTTGCTTCGGGTGCTTTGTGGAGTGGGTAAGACTGTTTTTAGTGGCAGGCTAACTATGCCCATTGACATGCACTAGCCTAGCACCAGCGACCTCTGCAAATACAAGGGCTGGATGGAATATTTTAAAAAGTCTCCACATGTCTCCAACACTCTGGCTAACTAGGAAATGAGGTCCTATGTCCAAAATTCCAGACTGTCCCTTTAACAAATACCTTTTACCTTTAGTTCAGTAGAGCTGAAATTATCCAAATGATTCTAGTGAAGGTGTATGGAGTTTAAAAACACAGTGGAGCATGTCTTTACCACATGACATCACAAGGGGTGGAACAGAGTGCTGTATGTATGTATGTATGTATGTATGTGTGTATGTATTTGAGAGAAGAACTGTAGGGTTTGTGTGTAAAATAGTAAAATTATCACAAGACAAATTTGCTCATATATAAATCTAGTAGTTTTACTTCTTCTAGTCAGTATAAGTAAATAAATAAATAAAGGAAAAGTATGAATTTTTTTTCTAAAATTATACAAATATTAAATAATGATAAAGAGAAAAGAGCAAACTTGTCCTACCCTTATGTTGTCAAAGGATGCACGGTTGGTGACGTCATACAGCAAGAGTAAAGCTACAACACACAAATATGAAATTAAGAACTGGTCAATACATAAGACAATTCAATATAGCAAACATTTATCCCTAAGGCGTTGCCCAACCACAAAAAGAAATATTGAAAATGATAGAGTACAGTGGCTTCTGTTTTTCAATGAGCTTTTCAATGACCCTTTGTGGTAAAATATTATTACATATGTACCTACAAAGGTTTGTTTATGTTTTACTTCTGAGAGTTTGAATGAAGTCTGATTAGAATTATTGTGAGAAAACAAAAGGCAAAGACCACACAGAGGAACAATCGGCAGCGGAAATGAAAGGCAAGAATTAGCAAGGCACTTGGGCTGAGACTTGACGCAGAAGAGATGAAAGCTCAGATAAGAAGGAGGGAGGGAGAGCAACTGAAAATAACTTTATGAATGCTGTTTTGTTTCAGTCAACCAGCCCCCAGAACAACAAAACCTCATTGGTGAATCAATCAAAACTGTTGATGAACACTGAATACAGAACAGGTTTTAGTTCAGTATACAAAATATTCTACATCATGACAGGAGTTGTTGATGTTTAAAGGTCCTATATTACACAAAATGGATTGTTGTGAGCTTTAAGCCATGTTATAATGCTGTTACCTCCTCAAAAACAAATGCAGAGTTGTGATTTGTTTCATTCACATGTTTGAGCAATCGTGGTTTATTAGTTTTTCAAGTTAACAGCTGCCTTTTACGTTTAGTTCAGTAGAGTTTGTCAATTCCAGATCTGAAATCATCCAAATGATTCTAGTGAAGTTGTATAGAGTTTAAAAACACAATGGAGCACTTCCTGTATTACCACGTGACATCATAAGGTTTGTGTGTTAAATGAGGGAATGAAACAAAACACAACTCCAGATATTAAAAAGAAAAACATCCAAGGCACTCCGACTACATTAAAAGTCCTTTAATAAATAAAACAGGACTATACAACTCCAGGTATGTTTGAGGAAACAAACTGAATATGGGCTCTTTAATGTATGATGTGTATTCTGACAACTCTCCGTAATGCCTAACAACTGGAGCTACATTATACACAAGAAATTAGAGATTTCTGTTAAGAGCCTATTAGAGCATTTAGAGCAGGCATGTCCAAACTATGGCCCGGGGGCCAAATGCGGCCCTCAGACAAACTTTTCTTGGCCCTCAGGCTTCCAGGAGAATTGGCCCAAATTACCTTGCATCAATTAAAACATAACTTTTTACTGCAAGTTTTTGGAAAATCTACCTTGATAAAGCCAATATTTCATACTTAGTGTGTGGTTTTGAGGATCTTAGCATGAATAAAGACTGATGGATCATTCTAACATGTTAAAAATGCACATATTTCAATTATTCACTGTACTGAGCACCAGTCTACAGCCCTCGATTGGCCCTCTGCTTCATCTGTGTTTAGATATGTGGCCCTTGATGAAAAAAGTTTGGACACCCCTGATTTAGAGCCAATATTTGCACATGCATATTGGCAATCGGCCTTAAATCATAAACAGAGGCCGATATTTAGTTTTGCCCTACATATCAGCCCAAAAATATCTGCCAAGTTTATCAACCATTGGCTGATCTGGATTCTAAACAATCGGTATCAGCACTGGCGATGACAGAACCCATCAGTCAATCTCTATGTTCCAGTTCTTTGACTTGTTTTGTGTGTTTTAATTTCTTTATTGTCCCCATGGATTCCTGTTGTGAGGGCCCTGGTCCCTAATTGATGGAGTACTTCTACACCTGGCCAATCCTGCCTCACCTCCAGGCTCCTCCCCCTGTTGAAGTTGTTGCTCCACACCTGTTTGGACTGTTGGTCTTTGTGGTCAGTCTGCCATTTTGTGTGTGTCTCTTTCATGTTAGTCACTCATTTGTACTAGTATGTGTCTGACTTTGTTTGTTGTGTTTAGACACTGGTTTAGTTAAGTTCTGTTTTGTGCCTTTTTGTTTTGTCACTTAATTCTGTTTGTGGATTTATGTGGTTTTACTTTGGGGCACTTCTGATTTAGTTTTGTTGTGTGTCCCTTAGTTTAATCACTTGTTTTTGTTTACACCTGCATGGCCCGTTTTTTGACACAAAACTCGTATGTTAATCCTGCTATTTTGTTTCTTAATTTAGGTTATTTTCTGTACCTATTTTAGCCTGTTTTGCTAATTTGTCTTTTACATTCCTGTTAGTTAAACATTACTTAATTTATTCCATTTTTTTCCCCTACCCTAGCGAGCTGGGCCGTAACATTCTACAAATATTAACAAAAATAAATATCTCTATTTTTTTATCCCAATAATAATCAATTGATCAAAATCTTGCTAAAACATGTCTGTAAATTTCTACAAGTATGACTCAGTAAAGTAATTAGACTGTGCAAAAGTGCACAATAAGGTCTCACTGCAAGTTTCTTTTCTATTTCCTATTAAGTATCACCTTTTTTAGCAACAACCAGAAAACATGAAATATTTATACACAGCATATCCATAGAAGTTTTGTTAAGCAATATTTCTTCTATCCACAGCCCCAGTGAGGCTCTGATAATAACTGAGCTCCTCCATCATACTATATGTGTTGGCCTTGTGCAGCTGGTCTCATTGTGAGCTTTCATTATTTTCATTCATCAATATTTAGTGTCAAATATAACAGAGATAAATATGCCTCACCTATAACAAGTTTGGGTCATGATGAAAAATACCATTGAGATTTATCTATGTTGTGTGACTGACAATAATTGAAAGTAATTTATGAAGAAAACAATGTTGTCTTTGTAAGCAAAAGTAGTATATCTATAAAAACAGGGGAGGGGAACTAATGTGTAAAAATGCTGTTATGACACCCTCACTTCTTTAAGATACATTTATTTTTAAGTTATGCTATGTAACTTTTCTGGGCAGGGGCAAGACAGAAAGTTACTGACAGAGCCTTCACAATTCAAGATAAACTGAATTAAATTATATTATTTTATTATTTTATTTTTAATTTTTTCTGTGGTTTTGTGCATGTGAGTCTCACCATGAGCATCGCGGTAATACGCATGAGTGACACTACGAAAGCGCTCCTGTCCAGCTGTGTCCCAGATCTGTGCATAACATAATATCAGATCATCAATAACTTCAAGCATCAAAATCAAAACTATTTCATTTTTAGATTTTATGGTAAAAAATAAATAAATAAATAAAAATAATAGTCTTACCTGCAACTTGACTTTGACTCCATCAATGTTCATGACTTTATTCTGGAAAAACAGCAAGAAACTTTTAAGTGGCAATAGAGATTTTCTTTCAAGAAGTTTACAGGTTTTACAAAGTTTAGTTCAGGGGTAGGTTACCTCTCTTTACCAGTTAACTTTGCTTTTATGTAATTAAAAGTCTGCACATATTTTCTCTTGTGTTTGTTTCAGTGTTGTTAGGCAAGATAGAATTAAATCAAACTGCATAATGATTCGAAGTACATAACTGTAAAGGCAGAAAAAGAGGTAGAAGTGGTTTATTTGAACAAGGTAATGTGGATGTTGACAATGATCTTATACTGTGTAGTGCAGTGTTTCCCAAACTTTGTGACCCAAGTCAATAAACATTATTCATAAGTCACAAAATAAACGTGGATTTGACCATTATTGAACATTAATGAGGATATTTTATTGTTGACTGGGTGAGCGAGTCTCTCTGAACAATTAGTATTACTCAAGTTTTAAACAATGAAAAACAGTAATAGAACCAGCAATAAAAGGGGATCCATAAGTTGCCTATTTGGACATTGAATGTAGCTCATTTCTTTTTTTTTCAACATTCAGTTGAACCAGCAATATTGGAACAAATTAGTCAATAAAATAATTGCGAAAAGATTAGAATTGATACAAAACATGTCTTAACATTTCAATATTTCTAATGAGATAGGTGGGCCTGTCTGCATTTTTGTGGCACGTTCCAGTCTGGGGTGCAGGAGGAGAGCGCAGTAGCAGATCAGGCGCAGCATTCAGTTTGTTTCTGTGCTTTGGCTTCATTTTTGTGAGCACAGAAAATCCCAGTTCACACAAATATGTAGTAATGAAAGGAATAAGCACAAGAACACTGGCTCTACTGAGGACAGGATATTCTGATCAAATGCTTATCCAGAATTACGATAAGGTCACAGATCCATGTATGCAACTGTACATTGCAAACTGACATGCAGATCGTGACAAAGCAACCCCCCAGAAAACTCTTGCGACCCACCTGAGGGTCGCGACCCAGTCTTTGGGAAAAAATGGAGTAGGGGAATAATGCCTTCCTTGTAACTATTCTGCACACTTTTTAATGTTTTCATATATTGTGAAGTAACCTGTTAAAATAGACTGTGCCATTTGTTTTTTTTGTTTTTTTTGCAGCCCGAGGTCAGTATTTATAAAAGACATTTAAAAGCCAACAAAGAGCCCTTCTGGGAGACAGTGACATAAATAGATAAATCAGTGCTGGGGTGAGAGCCTGCCCCACAGCCCATGGCCCGTCTCTCATTAATCAACACCTGGTCACTGGTGCATTCTTACAAATATAAAATACTACAATAATGTTATAAAGGACTATATTTACAGGAAGAAATATATGAAAAATTATCTTGTGTATTTTCAGTTTTGTTCAGTTTGGGTTGGGTAATGTTTTCAAACCTCACCACCCAAAGATGGTCTGACAGCAGGAGCAGGGACAGGAGATGTTAAGAGAAGATGACAAATATCAGGCCCAGTATAGAAGACTGCATATTTTTGCTTGTTTTTTGCTAATTCAGTCACAGTGGGAACAAACTCATAAATATTCACATTCAGTGGAGCAGTGAATTGGGATTTCTACCCAAATATAAAACTATTAAATTGTCTTTGAAGATTCTATAAATATTCAATGATTCATAAAATAGGTTCATACCATTATTATATTCATATTTTGAGTGGTTTTAGTCAGTTCAAGCTTGCGGGTAATACTTCTTTGAGAACACATTCGCTGTCATGTAATGTAAGTAGTGGACACAGTTTGGCAAGGACAGGAGCAACTCTACAAAGACTAAAGCACTTACTGTAGTGAATGGGGTCAGTGAGCATTGGATTCACGATTTGAACTGTTTCCCTGTACAATCACTGGTGTGCAAGAGATGATTATTACAATATTTGTTCCCTGATCATATAGCAACATGTTTGAAAACAGGGAATACAAAACCTTGAAAAAAATATAGTTTATATAAAATCAGTCTATTTTTAAATCATAGGCTTCATAAAATAATCTTATTTTGTCCTAAGACAAGGCACTCTACTCACATTGCCTAGTATAAAAGTGGTGCATGCAGTGAGTGTTGGTGGGGGGGGGACATAAAGTCGGTTCATTTGTGTAAAATGTTCAATTTTCATGTGCACCAGCAAGTCAACAATGCACTGACTCTCTCAGGGGGGCTTTAAAATGGCTTTATCTTCCGTATTGAACTTATTTACTGTCAAGATCGGCCCCATACAAAATAGTACAACCCGAATGATGATGGATATTTATAAACTATAATTATATGCAATCCTACATGAATTTTAAATGTTACACAATAATTCACATTTGATATTAAATTTGCATTTGATTATTTATTAACAACAGGATAAATTCAGGTCAGATTTGTGTATATCCTCCATTACATCACTACATACATCCCTTACGTGGGCCAGACTCATAGCCAATGTCAATCCCCTATGCAGCTAATTAGGATGGTCATTGTAGACAAAACCATCTCCATAAATCAGGCTACAGCAATCAAACAGAGCACTTCAGATGCTCTCGATCCAGCCAGTGGTTCATTGGTTTTGCTTGCTGAATATGCAAAATTAGTTTGTGGAGATAACTCATGTGTTTTGGAATGTATCCCTATAGTACAACCTCAAGCTGGAATCCAACACAAACTCATATTTGAATATAGAGTTCAGATAAGGGTCAGGCAATACTTCCATTATAACTGCCTCTGGAGTGTATAAGTTCAAGGCATTTGTGAGATGGTGTTGACGCCGCAAATGCATTCAGTAATCTCAAACAAACAGACAAGGAAATGAATAAATTTTAAAAAGCTCAAGCCTATCCAGTACAATTACTTATTCAGCGTTCCTAATGTGACAGAGACGTGGGCTATTTGCTTGCCACCACGTTCCTGGCCTGTTTAAAAATTAATGGAGCTCCTCAGGGCTCGCTTCTGGGTCCCAGTGACATTCGGACAGCAGGAGGCAAAGCTGCTTTTCATTAATTACCAAGAACCACAACCACACCACACACAGAAACACAGAAGGGATATAACACTAACTGGACATTATGACATGAGACTAAAACTAAGAGGACATAACATTAAAATATGCACATCTTAAAAAAATGGTTTGCAAGTACAAATTATAAATAAAGTAACAGTGCTATCAAGCAGCGTTGTGATTCTCTATTAAATTACATGGTGTCAAAAAGAACTTGAAAGCATCAGTTTGCGTAATTGAATGAAAATAGACAGCATGGATAAAGGGCCCATCACAAACTGTCCACGACTAATTGCAACTGCAGTTTTTAGAGCTTCTTTGAGCTGTTGTTGTTGTTTATGTTTCTGTGAATCGAATCAAATGTTACTGTCACTCTATACTTGTGTGTATGCATGTAAAAAAAACTCCTAAAAAACCTACAGCCAATTGCTACTTTGCAGCTGATGTCATCAACAATCCCTGGGGGTGTGCTAACTGTAGGCACTGCTCTATTTAATTTGAGCTTTATTCTATAAAAAAAAAAAAAAAAATCTCACACATGAAGCGAGCATTAGCCAACAGTTTTCAATTAGTCAATCTCACCTTTTTGTTGAAAATCAAACACCTAAACATGAAGACCCATATTATTCACAGGCTCCTGTGTTGTTTAAATCCATTTTAGATTTTTTCTTGAGTTTTCAGATTATTTTAAAACATTTTTGGCAGTGGTTCCTAATGTATGCCTTGTATCACCATGGTAACTAATGAACATTCTGCCGTACATATACATGTACAACACCCCCAGCGTGATGTCTCTGCAAAGTATGAATAACAACATATACTTAGCACAATCTTAAAAGATGGTTTATATAATTGGAGACCCTCTTGGAGTCGAATGAGGATGAACATGATGTTATCTGTTTTGAACAATGCAAAGGAGACAATGAAGTGACAGAAGTATAACCGACACTGCTGCTCAGTGCTATTGGCTCATTAACAGCTTCTACATCTGTGATCAGGGTGTGACATCCTCCCATATGTTTAAGAGGCACGACCAAAACAACAGTGTTGTACTTTTTCTCTATCTCTCCAACTCCACTGAGGTACTACAACTGAAGACTGTCAACAAAGAAGTATAGTATGATAGATTCAAATGTAATTTGTCAAATTATGGAATTATGTTCTGCGTACGCTCATTTCTTGTGTTTTTAAGATATTAAGCACCTTTTATCAAATATGCAAGACTTTTTTTCAGTGACATGTGATGTAAGTAAGTTTATGTAAGTAAGATGTAGTAAGTTTGCTCCATACAGATCAAATTAAGAGCAGTAATATTAAAATAATGTTGACAAAGGACTAACCTTGAGGGTAAAGCAATGTTTCATCTTAGATAAAAATCCTATATTAGGCAAAACTGTCTCTTGTGAACTTTAATCCATGTTAGAATGTTGTTCATCAAAAACACAAGTCTAGTTGTTTGTCTAGAGCTCCAAAGCTCAAAGTGCTCTGTTCCACCTTGTGATGTGATGAAGACTTACTTTTCATGTTAACAGCTTCATTTACCTTTTGTTCAATAGAGATTGACAATTCCAGGTCTGAAATCATCCAAACAATTCTAGTGAAGGTGTATGGAATTTAAAAACAAAGTGGAGCACTTCCTGTATTACCACATAACATCATGAGGTGGAAGTGGTTTTGTTTGAGAGAAGAACTCAGCCTAAATATGCAGGATTTGAGAGTTAAATGTGTAAATGAAACAAAACACAACTCTGGCTATGTTTTTGATGAAGAAACAACATTGTAACATAAACCAGATAGTGTAATATGAGCCTTTTAAGAGACAGTATAAGCCGATAGACAAATAGGAGAGGGTGCACCATGTACATAATACGTACGTACATAATGCATTTTCAACATATCTGACAGAAAACAACTGTCTTCCTCTGTTTTCCCCGTCCTCTGTACAGGATATGAGACAAACAAGTATGGAACATGAACCACACTTTTAACAAGGCTGAGGTGCAGGTTTAATCTCAGAAGCAAAAGAAAAGCTTAACAAACCCCATCAAATCCCAGCACAAAGTCAATTGCTTTCTACCAAGAATCCAACCTAAATTGTCATATCTAAAAATACCCACAATTGATGTTTGTTTTGTTGTTCGTGTCTGATAGAAAAACATAAAATGTTTTTTGCTGCATCACAGATATAAAAAATCTATTAATCTGCAGATGAGTCCTAAAATAAAGAAAGAAATCATTTGGATTTATCATTATTTGGATTTAATACGGCAACAAAAGATGGAGAGAACAACAAGAGTAATGTCTACAAATATGATGACACAGCGGATTTTGAATATCATTGGCTATTTCTTGGCAAAAACATCTAGAGGAAGAATTATTCATGTTGCTGTGATACACAATGAAAGTCAGTGTGACACAAGAGCAGAGAAAGCACAAGAGTTTATGAGTTTTTCACACTTTTTGCCTACCTCAAGTGGAAATGATGGAAAGGCCATAGAGCTAGTTTTTCATCAAATAAATAAGGCATAACTTCTCTTTTGATATAATCAGTTCTTTTACTTAACTTGACAATCATGACAAAAGTACTTAGAATTAGTGATGCGATATTAGTGAATGAGTCTGCTCTTTTCAATGGTTCCTTAACGTTAACTGTTGGAATCAAATCTCATTTTTGAAAAGAACTAAGGTCTGTGTTGAGAGTCTGCGTACACTGGCATATGAGTGTGTGTATGTGTGTGTGTGTGTGTGTGTGTGTGTGTGTGTGTAGGAATGGGAGTGGTTCCTTGATGTAGGTGGAAAAGCACTATTTATATATAAAAATGTGACAAATTTTAGTTTTATTTAGATTATGCATAATTTCAAAGAATAAACTCACTCCCACTCTCAGTTGGAACTACAGTATTTTAAACAGATCTGAGCCTTGGTCATTTTTATCAGATTATTTTGTAGATAACTGAGTTCTCATAGTGGCTTCTCTCATATAAATAAATATACAAAGAGCCAGTCTTTTGAATGGCTCTTTGGCATGAGCCAGTTTGGATCCCATAAAAGACCTGAAAGTACATACTATTTACAATGGTGTATCAGTCTAACTATAAGGGATATTTTGTGCATTAAAAAGGATAAACATGCTTAATTAATCCCAGATGAAAAGAAGTGATATGAGGTGCACAGTTGACTGCTGGTTGGACACTGGAATTTATTTGGATTTATAGAACAAGTTTGGTCTTGGCTCACTATGAACAGGCTGTTTCTACGTACATACTGGTACGTGAGAGGCACCCCTGATAACCAGAGAGCAATAAAATGAAAATATGCCACAGTCATTTAAAAAAAAAAATCAATATACCCCATTTGATAGAATTTGGTGTACAGAAAGCCCCTATTGCCCACTCCAATTTCACAGTACATGGCCCTGTTTCGATGCTGCAAGTGTTATTTTTCTGGTGTGATGTTTTAAACTTACTCTGAAGTCAATGCCCACGGTGGAGATGAAGCTACCAGCCAGAAACGCTCCGTCTTTAAAGCGAACCAGGAGACAAGTCTTCCCCACACCAGAGTCTCCTACCAGCATCACCTGCAGAGGCATAACATTATTTAATTTGCACTATAACTAAAATAACATTAAATGAATGACGTCCCAGCACACAAGATTCTATTTCTGATTGTACTGTAAAACCATGTTTTTCTAGCTTATAATGAGGTTAAATATTTGATGTGATTATTTCTGATGAGGTTATAGGAAACTGACACTGAAGTCCCCTGAGCCTGTTGGGGCAGAGAGGATGTAGATAAAATAAATAGACTAATGGAACAACGCAGATGGAACAACATGCAGGAGATGTAGACCATGCTTTATGAACTATGCAAATATAATATCAATCATATGTGTTTAAGTTAGTTACAATGCAAATAATATGTCAAAATAGTAAAAATTCCTCCCCTTTTAATCATTTAAATGATCAATTGGAATTTTCCACTGTAATATGTGGATGTTGTGTGAAGTACTTAGTCCATATGCAGCCTGGTTATAGTGAGTGAAATACTGTAAAGCTTAAACATAAGGACAGATGATGATAATGTGTTGGCTGATGAAAAGTGACAGGCGCCTCAAATCGATCCTCTATTGACACAGCTGCAGCCAGGGGTTTACTGTTGTAAATAAACGTGGTTGTAAAAGTGAATGCAATCAAAACAACACAGTCAATCACCAATACAACGCAATGAAACTCGCTCAAGCTATGCAACTTATCTGTAAAAAATAAATATTTTCTGTGTTTTAGTAATATAAGAAAATACATAGATTTACCTTGAAAGCAATGTCATAAAACTCGCTGCTGTTGCTGATGGGAGGTCTGCTGGGATGCACTACCCCATTTAAGGGCGCGATTCCAGGGCAACTCTTCGTAATTTTCCCGGTGCTTTTCCCGGTGGGGCTTCCAGTGGACGGGGTGTTCGCTCCAGCTTTACTTTTGGCCGTCTTCTTGCGAGACATCGGGCAGATTTGACTGTTCAAACCTCACAAAGACTTCAAAAGCAAGTCGCACCAAAGCAAACTGCTCAACGCGCGCTAAACACAAACCGGAAAAGTATCCTAACCTAGCGAGAAACAAAGATTTTCTCAGTCTTTGTCATCACAACATGGTCGAACGCTAAGGTACTGAAAAATGAACAAACAGACAAGGCTTGAGCCGCTTCCTGCTCCGCGCACGGTCCTCCTCTCAGGACAGGAGCGTCGGCACTACTCGTGTAAATCAGGATTTGGCTTTTACCAGCTTCTGCAGGACATGGGGGCGCTGTACGTCTGATGTATTTTACTAATGTATTGTCTTTGTGTACAGAACTCAAAACTGGAGTATTCGTCTTTATTTATGTAATTTAGAGTGCTCTGAAGAGGCAAGGACAAATTGGCCCTGTCCATGGTGCTGAAAACGTAATTAGAGAAGAGAGAAATTAATCGAATTGAATTTACTTATACTTAAGATTGGATATTAAATGGGGTCAATCGATGTCACGGTGAAGGAAGATGTTCAAGCAGGAACTTTATCTTTTTTGCATACTCAGTAGAGCCACCTGTGGAATATGTTTGAATTGTGATTTCACAATTAAACCACAAGAGGGAGACAAATGTATTGTATATAATTTATTAGGTGGGTGAACGCTCTAGGTACCGATATGATGATAAATATACACGCTTCACTTCACAGCTTTATTTGTTATAAAACATTATAATGATGCACAATTAAATTACTGTATGTGGTTTATATTCTTTGACTCACAAAATAAAACAACATTTTTAAACTATTACTATTTTCTTTTTCTGCCAATATTTTTTTTATGTGTATATGGCCTATACTACAATTAAAATAAAAAAAAAAAACAACAACATAAAATTAAAGGATATATATTCAAAAGAGATATAATTGTCAAATGATATCTATTATATTATTATTATAATGCAAATCTCATGTTTGTAAATAATATTCTTGATCATCCCAAGCACCATAGTCCACATATTGGGTTGATTTGTGACAAAGAACGGCAGCACTTTCTGATTACAGTCAAATCCTCTGTGGTCACAAAAGACATGCTGTTATTTTTCTTTTTTGTTATGCAATATTGTATGGATATTGTGCATAATACTTGTGCTTTTGTGTTCCAGAGCCAAACTGTCCAACTTTATTACAGTGTGTTTGAAGATTCAAGCCCAGAACCCCACTTTCTCCACACAAGTGAATCCAGGCAAAAGTGAACCACCGTGAACTTTGACCTCTGCACTTGTGGTCCATGACTAACACAAGACATTCGTATGTGAACATGTGTAAGTAGAGTTTTTGACAACTATACTTTAACTTTACTGGAGACAGCCAAAGAACTTTCAAGAGTGCAATCGCAAATATGGATTTACGACAAAATCTGTCTATAGTTTGACTCACTCTGGATTTCCTTATATTTGAAAAACAGATGTGTAGGAATATATAATGTAACAAATGTAACATGTTAATAATGTATTTCAGGGGCAAGAGGTAAAGGCTTTGATGTGTCACAAAAGTTTACGTTCAATCCAACTTATAAAATAGCCCAATATCTCACCAGGAGTTTCAAGAACTTTGTTAAAATTTAAAAATAAATGAATAATAAAAATAAAAATTAGTACTTGTGGTTATATAATTTAGGGATAAATAATCTATAATTTATCTCAAAATGTGTATTGATCAAAAAACAAATTTCGTCCAGTTGACAAATTTAATTTCTCCTTTGTCATGGATTCTACCTGGAGGAGTGAGGGATTTTACAAACATCTTAAAATGTGTAGAAAAAGTGATGTTTGTTTAGTGACCCCTTTATGATTTAAGTTGTACGTTTGTGGCCTGCCTTACAGAATTTACATAAATCACTGGATCAAGCAAATGTTACTAATTTACACCAAGTTTATTTGTTGACCCATCACTTACCGCTCATTAAAATTGTATACATGGTAAAATCCATAATAACTACATTAAATACATTAACACTGGTCTTACTGTGCTCCATAGTGTACTAAAAATCCAGTTGTAAACACTTCAACAACTGTGACCTCTGTCTTGAAATGTGTCAGTCAGCATTTTTCCCCTGTCCACCTGACTGAGCCTAACTACAGCCTACATGAGCCAGTGTGTGTTTGTCAGTGTTGTAGATAATATGGACTCCAAACTTACCCATCAACCCCGGCGACACCTCGACAGCTGAGATTGGTTCTGCCACAGGAGCAGCTGTCCTCTGCTACAACAGCTGGGTGTTTTGGAGGGAACAGGGTCAGCAGCAGCCTTGTCAAGTTAATTTTGTCCATGAGAGTACTGTACATGCAACGCCATAGTAGCAAGATGTGTGGTAACTTTACTCTGGGTACTCTGGATGTCAAGGTAACATACAACATAATACAAATACCACCAAAAGCTGTGTGTTACTATATAAAAGCACTACTACTGTTTAAATTTTCTCATGGAGGGTCCATCTAATGCTTTTCTACATGTTTCTCAAGATGGTATCAAACCTTTCTATCTTCATGGAGACCATATCAGACCAAGTTATAGGACAGATCTGTGGAGAAGAAAGAGAGAAGTCAGAAGGCCTGTTTTTCTAGGTATTTCTGAGCTATAAAGCCACCTGTAATACAATAAATCTAAGGCAGAGTTGTTTAATGTGGCAGAGCAATGATATCTCCACAGAAACAAACTGATGATGGACTCTCCACCAGAAAAGGTACAAAATGCATCTTTAATAAAAAATAATATATACTAGTACTGTCCCAATAAAAAACTTTTTTTCTCTGATTGAAGGGAAAGCCATGTTAAGATGTTAGGAATCATTAAAAAAAAATAAAGAAGCTGAATAATGTATTTATGTTAAGCTGGATAATGTATTTATGTTGAACTACCAATGTGCTCATATAGTTAGAGCAGTCTCAAAATCAGATTCAAGACTGTGTCAACTCACACTAATCTGACATGTTCATTAGGAGCTCATTAGGCATCTGTGCGAGTGTTCAGGGCATCTACAAAACTATGCTGTTAAACATAATACAGCTGTATATGTTATCTATATGTATGTGTATGACACATGTATGGTTTTATATAATATGTATGACATAAAATTCTGTTTATGTACTCCAACATAAACAGAATTTTTGCCCCGCCAACTGCCCTGCGCATAAACAAATGAAACAGATTATTGTTATTGTAAACTGAGTTGGTTAGAAGTGTGCCTGTGATAGTGTTGCAATCATAGCCAAATGCTTTGTGCATGTTTGGTCATAAAGGTCACTCTATAAGCACTAGGGGGTCAGAGCACTTGCGGCCGCACCCTTGGGCCAGGCATTTGTCAGTTTACCCAGGTCAGGTGCCCTGAGCGCGGGCAGGGGGCGTGCAGCAGCAGTCCAGCCATCGCTCAACCACACTCACAGCAACTGTTGCTGTGTTGGCAGCTCTCCTCCTCAGCTGCCCGGGCGGAGGGCGGGGCGAGGGGGAGATGAGCAGGGCATCCTGCCAGCTTCACCCTGTTTGTCAGGACTTGGCAAGAGCAGGCCTCGGTGCACTGGGACAGCCTGGCACTTATTGGGTCCATGAGGCATGTGAAATGAGGGACAGTGTGTAATGGTGACAGGGAAACTTCCAGAATGGAGCCTTGGGTGCTGTTATTTGTATTATAGTTATTATGTTGTCTTGCACAAATCTGGAAGAAGTACATATCAGCTGTAATTTTTGAAGAAAGAAAACAATCTTAATTTTATAATTGCCAGACATGCAAAACATTTCACAGTATTATTAAGCAACCAGACATATACATTTAACTTTACAAATGAAGGAGAATGTACAGAATGAGCAGACATATATTTCATGGGTACTAATAAAATAATTACTATAATCAGATGTATTTTGTGTGCCTGTGTGTATTTACAAAATGCATGTATTACGTGCAGTTCACTGTATTGCAGTGGTGTGTGCCTGGAAGGTGTGAGGTGTATACTTTTACACATTATGAATGTAATACAAATGTATTGATGGATAGTGAATATTAATAGGCTATATATATATATAAAATCTGCCATATTGTAGTGAAAGTGTCACTTTACACCTGTTTCACTCTGGATGTCCTCATTTTGTCGAGCCTTTACATTGAATGGTAACGGTGCAGCACTCAGCACTATTTCCTCTTTATAAAACAAAAACAGTCTTTCTTGTCAATTGCATCATTGCATCCTATGCAGTTTCCACACTGATGCAGGGTTAATATTCACTGTGATTTAAACCAGTGGGGGGTCAATATAAGTGAGTCCTTATGAAAGCCAAGGTCTGTTAAATGAATTGTGTAAAATACAAATACACCACTTCCCTATTGAGTTTGTATTTTTTATTAAACCTCTCTTAAACTTGCTTGGTGGCTGTAACAGAGAATAGAAATAGACAGTTGTGTTCATGTCAGAGCCATAAATTCACACCTATCCGGGGTGGTTCCTGAAATGATATTCTCCTGCACTGTGTACAGATTTATGGCCCCACATGGCTCTGTCAAAGGGAGAGGATTCTCTGACAGAGCACTTTTTTAGCTTCAGGATAACACATGGCAACACAACCATTAGGATTATGCGTTACCAGTTTGTATATGAGAGCGAGGCTGCCCTAACTGTGGCACAGGGCCCACATGCAGCACACAGACCTGTTTTGTTGGCTCTAGAACATGCCACAGAACAGCACCATAACATTATGTTGTGAGACAGACCCAAGCCTCAATCACATGTATAGCAGCTTGGTCAAACTTCTGCAAAATCCACAAATGAACTTGAACATTTTACCGTTAATGTTAATGTTTTATTGTTAATGTTTTACTTTGTATTTTTCAATATGTAACATTCAATATGCCTTAAAGAAAATTTTCTGTAAGTCATATATAGCGTGCTTTACTTTATTGAATACATGAGGAACATTATCGTACCTCATGAGATTTATTTTGAGATGTTTATATTTGAAACACAATGACAACAAAAATATTACGTTGAAAAATGTTTTTAAAAAGTGAGCTAAAATTGTAAACCACACAATGTATGTATTACAAATTAATTATTAAAATCTTGTTTTGTTGTCATGGATCC